ACTAAACTCTTTTATTAGTTGGTTTATATACCAAATTCAGTAAAACATTTTTTACATAAAACATGAGATATTGGATTCATTAGCTTTTTCATTCTAAATCATATAGACAGCTTTATTTACTCTTAACGAAAATTAATAAATCTCCTCTCTTTCTTCAGATGTGAAAGTTGTGGACAAACCTGTCTAAGCATTGTGAGACTCCTGCAGCACAAGAAGCAATAGCAAAAATAGTAAGTATATCAATCAAGAAATTAAGCCGACATAAAGCAAAACTTTCAACTATTCGTCTAACCTCAATTTCCTATTATTTATTCACAGGACAACTGTAGCAGAGGGGAGATATCAGAAGTCTGGCGACATATCATTGACAGTGTGATTCCAAGAAATATAATTAGAGTACTCCATAAATGTTTGCAAAAGAAGAACAACCTATAGAGGCATGCAAAGACATTTGACCCTCCGGTAGTGTTGTGTATGGCCCCCATATCCTGCCGGGCTTGAGGAAAATAACTAACAATTCCAAAGCGTAAGATTCCATAAGCGGTTTTATTTGTAAAATGGCACAAAACACGCCAGGCATACTTAAAACAGCTTTGGAAAATGAGGATTACGGGTCACTCACTACACCTGTGTTATATTTGGTTCATCAACTTTTGGTAGTACTATAGAAGAAATTCAGGAAAGGGTATAATCATGATTCACGATAAACTACTGTTATATATTTTGGCCAACTTTAATCTAGACCAGGGATGTCAAACTCGCGGCCCCAGAGAACTTCCAGTGCGGCCCTCGAACGCCTAAAAATAATTGTAATAGTATTTTGAACATTTGAGTGAATAAATTAAACGCAAGTACATGAAGAAGGTGACATTTTCGAAGAAAATGGCAGTTGCAATATTTCTGCATTTCACAAAATTCTGAAGCAAAGAAGAATTCTGTTTAATTTGTCATATTTCCATCAGTACAGTGAAAAACACAATAAGCTCAGCAGTCAATATGACAAATTCGAAGAGCAACTTCGAACAGAAAATTTCCATGTGTTTGTATATTAATATAATTATACAACGACTTAGTTACTAAAAATCAATATCAATAATAATTCAAGCAATCCTATGCCACGCAATGTGGCGCGAAATGTCTTGTCGAAAAAATCTGTCATTTGTTTTTTTACTGATCTATACATGAAATGATAAAAGTAACTTTTTTTGCATTACTGGAATTATTTAAACATTCGCAAAGATCCAGATTAACCCATGATCATGTGACCTCGTGAGTTAGAGTTGGTACTATAAAATCATTTCAGCCTGGCCTTAGTATGCTGGTGACACATAAAAGATGCCAAACGTCAGGACAAATGTAATTAAAAAAACAATGAGTTTATACTGTAGTATTTTTGTCAATTTTAGGTCCATATACTTAGATTAAGTGTATGTAATATTCTTTCCTTATCCAAAGCTTGTTTAAAAATAATTTTGATGGTTGTACATAGAATTTTATGATTTTTTGTAAAAAATACAGTAACTTGCAATAATAGTGGAATGCAAATATTAATATGTAATTGCATTTGAAATTAAAGAAAATAAAAAACTTAATCCAACTGTTTAGTTGCATCACAATATATGTCACAAACTGAAATTATCTTTCAAGTATACATTATCAAAAACTGTTTGCGGCCCTTTTTACAATTTTCAAAATGCAATGCGGCTCTCGAAAACCCATGAGTTTGACACCACTGATCTAGATGATTCAAGCATTGCTTTGGGAAATAATATCACTTCAAATAAATTGAAAAAAAACTCGCTATATTGAATACAAAATCGTTGCTATCATAAAAGTAAATCAATTCAGCCACTCGGAATATATTGGCTTTACAAAGCAATGGGGGCGAAATTGAGAGTTCATGAGCTATGAACTTTTGTTCTTTTCTTGGTCTTGAACTTTTCATACTCCACAGCCCCTATTAATTTTTTTTTTAATTTTAATTACCATGTGATGGTCATATATATCATGAACTTGTATTTCCTGTCATGGTGTATTATCTCAATGTGTCAAACTTTTAATTAGTGTGCATATTTTGCTTCCAGATGACATAAATGTATTGTCTTGTTTATTACCTCAGCTTGGAGTATTGACAAGAAAAAGGTGCTAGTAAATTACGTAAAATATTTTTTAACTCTTTGTTATAATCAGAATTCACAATTAATAGAAATTATAAACAGCCAACAATCAATGAGAATTATATGTGAAATCCCTCAGAATAAATTTGTCTTCTAAAATCGGAGGGAGGCAAAACATATAGGTAGTTCCCATTCACACAAGTCTTTCAAGAGGACTTGCTCGAGCCAAACTAAACGAGCATCGTCAGGTGATCGGTAAGGCTGAAAGTTGATTTTAGCCCTGCAACCTCCTGCATCGAAGATAATATTAATTAGTGAGCTATGAGCTAAATTTAGACACAACCCTATCTACGGGGCATTATGTACCAGAAATGTTACCTACGATTAACTGAATATGTAATATGTCTAATAAATTCACCTACTAAAGCAAGTTCGATAGGTGCAAACTTTGTGTTGTGGAATTGTACCACAGCACCGTAAAAAGAAGTAAAAACAGTTTTTCTGTTTTGTATGACACCCTCTTCAAATGAAATTTCAATGTTTAAGCGCAAACATTAAAATTACTAACTTTGAACTTTGTCATTATCTGCAAAATGTTCCACACAAATCTTTACGCTATCGCGTTTGTAATCTTTTCTGATAAAAAAACGTCTATAATGTCCAGAATTACTCTTCACAGCTTGTCTGCAATTCCAGCTTTCCAAGTGAGCAAAACTTCTTAGATATAAGGATTAATTTCTTTCGTTTTAGGCGCAAATAGGAAGGTACTACACGTAAAGAAAACGCCGAGTAGCAAAAGCGAGCGGAAAACGGTCGCGAAAGGCGACGAGAAATATGTGCATTGGAGCGTATCATGAAATACAATCTTTCGCCTGTAGCCTTATGGAGTGACGTCAGAGTTGCCTATCATGTTGTTTAATGTCATTGGCCCACCCTAACGAGTGAGATGAAAAAATATACGTCCGTCTCTAGGCGTGACAAGCGTCAATGTGTCTAGACTAGAATGACTATAACGTAGCGTAGGTCATTAAAATATATTTATTCCATTATACATTTATCTACGATAACCTCCACTTACCCGTTTTTTTTTACAAATTGTCTACTTGCCCATCGTCCCATCCCGAGTTCATTTTTACCAAGACGTTAAGCTGCGTCGATCAATACACATCACATGACATTAGGATTAGATGATCCCGATCATTTGCGGAACATACAGACATAGCTGTTGCATTGTCATCAGACAATACCGAAATGTTTTTTCGTACAAGGCAACGAGAACAATTCAAGGTATCGAATCGAAAATCGACGGTATAGATGTAACTATAGTGTAGGGTTAAAAAGAGCTGACGAAGGGAACACTACATGACTACGGGTACCGTAACGCCTGGCCGCGTAGAATAAGCGGAAGTCTTTTCGACAGGATACGGGTATATTTATGCCTGGGGCTGGGAAAGCCGGTAAGACGACCTGATCGTATGGCTGTATTGCGAACTTGCCCTCGTCCGGTTACCGTACCGGTCCATGTCGGTTATAGTATTAGTTACGGTACTTCAGTCTGTCAGTACGGTACCGGTACCGGTACCCGTACCGGTAGTCGTCTCTTGCTTCGGGAATACAGAAATAGTCCATTGCCCGATTCCATGATTTAGGTAGTAGTCTATAAGTAGGCCTATAAGTTTATTTCGACTCTATACTCAGCATAACAATAAAATGATAGATAAAAACAAATAAATAAAAACTGATTATGAAATCAGGAGAGCAAAAAAAAACCTTAGACAAGTTTTGAAACGTACCGGTACCGTACAAAATGAGGCCTGTACCGGTACTGGAGGGGCACAATTTTTCAGAATTTATTGTGACTGGAAAGATAAGAGAGGTTACCCACCATGCCATCACCACAAACTGAGACCATTAACCTAGTTGATAACATTTTCCATGATATTTGGACAAAATTTTTTCATAAACAATGAGCTATAGCAGCAGTTCCCAAAAGGTGCGCCGCAGCGCACCAGTGCGCCGTGACAAGTTGCTGGGTGCGCAGCGAAAATTAACAGAATTGTGGTAAACATAACTGAAATATATTTGAATATTCTACTAATTGTATTTTCTTTAAATGTCAGAATGTTTAATTGTTTCTTCTTTCAAATGCTGTGTATATGAATAAATAAATTCATTTCACCTTTCTATGTCTTTTACTCTTTGTCTGCCTCTATTGTTACGTAACAATATAGATACCGTAACCACTATTTTCTGGAATTTCGTGATCTGCCGTCCATTTATCCGCCAAATCGAGTTTAGCGAACATGAGTGATTTTTTTAGCATTTCAAAGGTATTAGGTATTGCATAGACCCACATATGTACAAACTTTAAAAGGCAGAAAGTACACATTAACAATCATAAAATTGAGTTTTGTCCAAAAGCAGCATTTTTTTTCGTGTAAGTGCGCCGTGAGTTTTTTTCCCTGGTGAAATGGTGCCACGCGAACAAAAAGTTTGGGAACCGCTGAGCTACTATAGCATGAAATTCGATGGTGAGCAAAAAAGGTCGAAAATTCTACTCCAACTGCTGAACTGCAAGGCTTTTCGTTGAAAAGGTTTCACAAGATATATGAAACAAGGGTGTTTTTTATGATTGGTTAAATATTTTTTTGTCGATAATTTTGAAATCAGTAGAATAAAATCTGTTTCAAATATGGCCCCAAATAATCCGAAGAAGCACCATTGGATACCTCTAGATTCTAGAAAGAATAATTTGGTTTCTGGAACGAAAAGCTATTGCTTACTGGTCCAAAACAGTCTGTAGATGCTAAGATTGATTTTTTACTGTTACAACAGACATCTTGCGATCTTATGTTTTGATCAGAAGATCATATAACTAACTGTATAATAGTGAGAATCGAATAATATTTGAATAAACATTTAGAGTCACTAATCATAATACTAGGTATACAATTATCATTTTCTATACCAAAAGGTGTGGTGTTTCCTGAAGCCCACTAATCTGACTTACAACACAATAAAGATTCGATGTTTGTCTAACAGCCGTGAGTTTCTAATTTATTATGGTTTAGTGAATTGTAATTCAAAAGACTTTTTTTATACAATATAACAGTATTACCTTGAATGCATATGGTAATTCCTCAATAGTCTGATGGTGATAAAATTTGCAAATTAAATCACAAAATATATGTGTAACTTTTATCGATTATTATTATCAGCATTACATACCGGTAGTCATATTGCTAAGTTTGGAATATTATTCAAACATTATAAAACATCAATTTCGAGAAATAAGTGCAACAAATAGCGAAATGAGCAATCCGACTGCACCACCAAGCTATGGAGACGCTGTTGACGATGCAAAATATGACCACTCTGCTACAGGTAAATCATATCAATTTAGTGTGGAAAATATGTGTATGAAGCAATATACTTGTATATATACAGAGTGTCCCAATGGAATGTATACACTGGTATTGTATTAATGTATACAGATTAAAAATGACTGTAAACGTGATGTTTAATTAGAATTCCATTATTTAAAAGTATCATTCTTCTGTTCTTTGTTTTCCTACTGCCTGTTCCCAAATTGACGTCTATTTTGATCTGAGAAAGTTTGTCTGAGGTTGGAATTTCAAAATCATCTGTCCATCGCATTATGCAACATTTTCACTGAAAAAGTTATAGTCCAAGAATAATCCATGCTTCTATTGATGATGATCCAGACCGAAGAATACGGTTTTGCGAGTCGTATTTACAACAATGCTGACAATGTGAGGAAAATGCATATTTTTCAACAAAGTTGAAAGTTGTGTGGGGTGACGAGGCCACATTCAAGTTAAATGGTTCCATTAATCACCATAATCACAATTAGGGACCTGAGAATCCACATGTTACTAACTTACTGTCGACTGTCATGTCAAGGGGATTATTTGTACCAGTCTATATTGACGCCACTGTAACCGGTTCCATTTCAGCATTTACTTGAACTTGTTACAAGTTACAACAATCCATTATGCCAAGCATTAGAGAAGACTTTAAAGATGAAGAGTTTTATTTTCAGCAAGGCGGGGCACCTCCACATTACCATCGCGATGTTAGGTATCCTCCCCGTTCACCTGACGCCACACCACTTGATTTTTTCTTATAGGAATACATTCAAGACGAAGTGTATGCTATGAAATCAGCAACAGTTGCTGAATTGAGAGAAACAATTGAGCGTGAATGCCCCTAAATACCAAGGGAATTGTTTCATGTGTGCGATTCTATTGCTCAGCGTTGTCAGCAGTATCTAAATCAAAGGGGCATCAATTTGAGAACAGCCAGTGAGAAAACAAAAAAATGATACTTGTTGATATTTCTACACGTTTGAAATAATAAAATTCCAATTACACACCACCTTTACAGTTATTTTTAATCTGTATACATTATTACAATACATGTGTATACAGTAAATTGGGACACCCTATACCAGGGGTGGGCATCCCCAGGCACGCGTGCCAAACTTTATTCGACACGCGAGCGAGCCCTTGGAAACGGATCATTCTTCTTCAGATAAAAAGTTTCAAGACTCTGAATTATCTGATGAAACTAGAAGTTCGTTTGTTCATTCTCGTTTGTTAGCGAACCATTCTTTATTTTAACTCTTTTTGTCCTTTCATGTCATATGGTTATAGAGAAATATATTATGACGGAACAAATGAGTGAGCTCTCGCGGAATTTTGTCGAGAAGAGCACATTATTTATTTGGCTACATTTTTTGTAATATATTTCTTCTGTGCCACTCTTTTTTGTCATTTCTGCTTGATTTATGAGGTTGTACAGCTCATGTTGGCTATAGTTACTTGCTAACTTACTGTTATAAAATGATTTTGAAAGAAAGATGAGCGATTAGGGGAGAAAAAACAAGAGAGGAGTGGAGAAAACAAACTAATGTGTGATCAGTATGCCATTCTCGAAAATTTTTCTTGTCTTAAAAACTCTCCATGTTTTCATCTACATATTATGCTTGTGGATCTCTGTTCTTAGTTATGAACTTATAAGTCTCGTAACAGGAGTAGCCTGAAGGATGAAACCAGTAGTTCATGTATTTTATTGAAAGTTACAAAATAGCCTATAAACCCAATATAAAATCTATATCAGCGGCAGTAGTCTCACTGATATAGAATAAAAAAAGTAACCAAGTCTCTTTGGCGGACTGATATTTTCCCGAATAGTGAATCTATCTGTACATGTTTAAATAGTTTATTATTGTGTAGTTTTGCTTTGAAAGTAGCAAAGCATTGTTTTTACTTTTGGTCGGCACGCGGAAGAATTTTGTCGTAGTTGCTATTGTCATACTGAACCAATCGTTTTTTGGCCAAAGGCCCATAATGATTATGCTGCTTCTCTGTTGCAAATAAATATTAAATTCCTACCTCAATATTTTTGAACTGCCTTTTCTTTCTCCTTGTCTACTTTGGGTTCGTATGCGCGGTTGCCCCAAGAATAATTGAAGGAGATAGAATCAAAATGATAAATTGGAGTAACCTAATGTCATTCCACGAAATAGCAAGGCGTTGTTAAATCATAGTCTTACTGCTTATTCATTAGCTTTCATTAGATCATGGTCTACCTTTATCTTTTACACATTTTTTCCATCTTGCCAAAATCAACTTCAGCATCTAGCTCAGGGTGGTCCAAGCCCAGGCCGGTGGGCCAAATGTGGCCTGCCGCTTCATTATCTGTGGCCCTCGTCACATTCGGAGAGTAATCGTCTAATCGATAAATCGCATTTCGTGTTCAGAATCAGAAAAATCTTCTGACATATTGTTACATCACTAATGTCACTGAATTGACTCGTGTTATGGCTAGCTGAGGCAAATAGCGAAGTTGAGTGATGTGCTTGGCAGTCATTATTAAATTATTATCTGGCTTTCTATTTTTTTGGTCGGGAATTATTATGCTAACAATATAGGCATCATAGAAAACTAAAAATCGAATGCGGATTCTATTAGCCTGGGATGGCTATGTCTGATAACTATGTGTTTGCACAATAAAAGTGTTTGTTTCGTATTGTACTGTTTACCTATTCTTGGCACTATTGTGGCCCGCGAACAATGAAAAAATAATTTTGTGGCCTGCGGAGCCGACAACCTTGGACCACCCTGATACAGCTATTACCTTGCCGAATCATCTTAGTACTCATAACTGTTAAAAATTATCCTAAAAAATTTCCTTTGTTTTTCAAATTATTTTATTCAGAACATTTAGGATCGAATTCAGTCGATTTGTGTTTGATTTTTTTTGAATGAAAGTGCTAAATCATGTTTGAATGTGCAATTCTCGTTAATTATGTTGTGTTTGTAATGTTGCTTTGTTAATTTTATGTGCAATCAATTTTGATAATTGGAGATCTTTGTATTAGGTCAGCCATATCCTTCGGCATTTTCTTCTTCAGCACCTCTGGCCTATCCACAATATGGTGCTGCTCCATCAGGTAAAAATGCATACTCTGATTAAATCCTTACAAATCATGTTCGTTTGATTAATATTATTATGTGCTATTGAATCATAGTATTCATTTATTAATTTGTTCTTTTCAAAAAATTAAATCATTTCTAATTAGAAATTATTATTTATTTAATCAACTGGTCTGTCAGTTCATTATAGCTAGTAATTGTTCTTTCTAACTGGCACGATCATCAGACTTTTTATATCTGATTCAGTCATCAACATGACATGTTATCACTTTGGAATTTTTAATATTTCAGTTATATTTTTATTATTACCTTCCTCTATATATGTTTATTTTTTTATTCATTGCTTTCACACATTATGTATTTTTTTAGCTCCTTATCCTAATGCTACAGAGACGGGGTATTCAAGTTATCCAGCTGGGCCAATGCCACAGCCACAGCCTTATGTGTACACTCCCCAGCCACCGCCATCAGGTATTCTTAATTAATGTACCTTAGTCATTTAAAATCTATCATATACATAAAAATGAAAGTGGCATAATCAAAAATATCTAAGTGATGACAGACACCAATGTGACAAGTATTGTAGAAACACCTATCGAATAAGATGAATGAATATTAGGTATTATACCCATGGATGGGTGTCTTATAATTTCAACATATTTATCTGGAATGGTGAGTTGAATGTTCTTTAATTTAGTAAAATGTGGAGGCCTAAGACCAGTCACCGTACTGAGGCTTACTAATGTTATGGTTCACAGTTTGGTTAAGCCCTTTCTTAGCTTTCTTCTTAAATTTGCATTGACGCATCTGGTAGTCACCATATCTATGTCACTGAATAAAGCAGAACAATTCAGTATCTGTATCAAATTTCAATGACGCTACAACAGACGAACAATAAAATATGTAACAAAATGACCTTGAATATTGACTGAATATCTAAATTTTGTATCGGTTTATGCCACTTTCTATTTTCAGTGTTGTGTGAGTTGTGAATCTATCGTCAGCGATGTCAACATTTATTTTATTCGTTTTAGTTTTTATTTACTTAAATCACACATATGCTGATATTAGTCAATGATTCACCATAATATATTCGTTCAAATGACATCTAGGTTGAAAATTGATACAGGAGTATACATACTTCTATATAAACAGTGATCTATTAATATTGTTATTAAAGAGAAGTATTCTTGGTATATCATATATCTGTGATACATTTTACATGACTGTCAGATTTGCATTAAATGGAGAAGTATTTATCATACATAATATTATTAATCATTTAGTAATAATCAATTTGCGAATTGATGACTTAAAAATATAGCACGTTTCCATGTTAGAAAAATGCGATCAATTCAATTTGTATATCAGGTGCGTCCTATCATGCTGGTGCAGGTATGACATTGCACTGAGGTTGTTTTATTTTCTAATCTTGTCCAAAATTTCAAAAGGAGTGGAATCGTTTCAGTTTTGTATGATAATTGACATCTAATACTTATATTTTAATTTCCCAATGGACTGTCCAAGAGCCAAACTCAATATTCATTCTTGATGATCTCAGGAAAACCATAATGCATGAAAAAGTGCAGTATTTGTCAGCACTCAGCAATATGTAATTTTAGCTCTGTGCATTTGGTGGTGGAATGATTGACTTTCAATTTTTTTGTAGAATTATGATTAGAATTCCTAAATAAGGTGAAAACTCAAATCCCTGAACTTGCTGGATTTTTTTAATTTTTAATCTAAAAATTAAATTTAATCGAAAAATAATAACTTGCTGGATTTTTTTAATTTTTAATCTAAAAATTAAATTTAATCGAAAAATAATTTGAATCACGACTCACCTCTTTGCATTGATTTAGGAAACATTAGTTCAAAATTTGCCAATCTGTCTGCATATTTTGATGATTAGGCATTAATATGCCAGTTATTTTCACTGAATATTCAATCAGACAAGAATAGTGTGCAAGATATGTAATTTACCTATAAAAGGCTTATGTACAACCAACAAAAATTTTCCCTAAAAATCCAAATTTCTGAGTTATTAAATAGATAGAAAAACGAAATATAAGAATCTGCTAGAATTTGCCAACCACAATTTGACATGGCTCGATTTACAAACATCCTCAATTAAATAAGAAGAATTACGAAATATCTCATTTTAATCCATGTCATATGGATACTCATTTACGATGTCACAAGATTAGCTTGTTAGTATACTGTGATTTGTCTAATCAGACTATTAATTGCTTGCATGTAAAGAGTTGTGTTATGACCCTATTACACTTTGCTTCGAAATCGCTTCCCACTTTATCAAAACACTACCTTCACAATATACATGTCGTTGTCTCTCTCATATCTATAAAGTAAATATTCTGAGTGAATAGATGTGAAGGTCCTCTTGTCCGGTAACCATTTGGGTATGGGATTAAATTGCTAGTTATATGTTTCTGGTGAATAAACAATGTTTGATGGTGGAGGAGACTGTAACTGACTAGCAGTCACATAATTCACAAACTTTAATCAAGAGTCCCACAATCCTCTTCACATTTATTTGCAAGTCACAAGATTTGAACTTCCGAAGCCACGCTGGCTTGCTAGAGGTGCAATATCAAGCGTATTCCTAGCACTTTGACACCATGCACCAATCGCCACGCCACTAATCACTTGTATGCACAGATTAATTTTTTTCATATATTTATGTAAATAAAGGCTAGTGTGGGTTTATTTTCATATCTTTGTATATAATCCATATAGTCTTTAGGTTTGTTTTACATCTTTGTATAAATCCCATAATATAGCCTTTATTCCATGTGGCTGAAAATGTACCTTTTACCATTCTAGACGCATTGTTTTTTGTTTTTCCTCAGCTGCAGTGTACTCTGCTTCGGAACATCATCCTGCTGATATGACACATGCTGAAATGGGATTTTCTACCAGGTTTGTAGTATCAGAACTCTATCTTTCCTTCCGTAGACTTCTCATTTTTCTAATTTTCTATCATCCACTGCATCAACCTATAATGAAAATTGGTTAATCCACTGAGACAACTTTTGTGTCTACTACTTACATAAATTTTGTCGCCCATTTTGTTATAGAGTAGTTGCGATCACCGATCAGTTAAAGCTATGTCGACTATACAACTCATCTTCACACTCTTTAAAATCAGTTTATTTACAGACTCTTCTAGTGGTTATTTTTTCAATATTCTCTTCACTGGTTATTTTTCAACACTTGTTGATTTGTTTTCTATCCAGGCAATCATTTCATGATAAAAATATTCGAAGACAATTCATTCGGAGAGTGTTTATCATTCTTGGGTTGCAACTTCTTGTCACATTTGGAATTGTTTGCATCTTTACTTTGATGTAAGTAGAACTGTTCTAATATCTCTTAAATAACTTAGGTGTAACAAATTATCAATGTAATTCAGGCCAACAAAAAGGTGCAAATATGCTGAAACAGATTAGTATTCAAGATGTGAATGTTATTTTTATAATGATTTTTATGATGGGTTGGTAATATTGCGGAATGGCTAGGAGTGATTGAAAAAAAAAACAGGGCTGGAGCTTGGAGCCATGGAGCTGAGACATTTTGATGGAGTCTGAGCTGGCCTTAATAAAATAGGAATTTTAGTGGCTCCAGCTCCTGACAATGGAATTATTTTTTCTAACTTTACCTAATTTTGTTGCCATTTGTGACAATATAATATTTCATTTTGAATAGTATTTGGTATTAATTTAATTTAATTTGTAAGATTAAAACCCTTGTACCACGGCTTGCAAAAGTAAAAAGTTCGCAGTGTTCAAATATTTCAAAGCGAGTGAAGATAAAAATGCGCTAATCTGCCAAGTATTAAAAAAGATGGGTCGTTTGCAATCTCAACCTCTTTAATAAAACTATAAATTAAAATCGGTATTTGGAAAGACAGCATTTTGACACGTTCAAGTCTGTCAAAAAAGAAAACAGTGAAGACACAAAGAGAGAATGATATGAGCCCTTCAAGTAGACACCTCTGTCTCAAACTACTTCACAAGTCAAAAAGTGACCATTTTCATGACTGAAGAAAATTCCAGAGACACATCATACAACTGGTGGTGTATAATGCAGCGGCACTTCAACTCTCTTCAAAAGCATTCCTCAGATTATTGATTGGTGAAATGCCTAACGAACAAGGAGTATCACTGGACAGACGTGATATGGTGGTGATGGAAGCCGAGTGTCAAGAAAAGGTGTTGAAGGATATATTACATGGGAATTTTTTTTTTTAAATGGACAATTGTACTTATTAAGTTATTATTTCAATTTGAGGATCATAAAAATGAAATAGCCATCCATACATTATCTGTGCGGGATACACAAGCTCAACATACAAGTTAATTTATTCGAAAATTTGTTAAGGAAGTTCTCAATGAGTTTGAAATTAGTAAAGAACATGTATTAGCAAATGTGACAGATAATGTCTCCGACATGACAAAAACAGTAAACAACTTAATGAAAATACGAGAATATCGGTTGGAAACCGAAGACTTATCGATCGATAGTTAGGGGATCCCCCAAAACAGAAACTGCAGTTTCGATTCATCCGCTCTTGTAACTTGCGCACTGCGCATCGCACACACACACTCGGCGGGTTTCAAAATTCTCTCGCTTTACAAAAATCTAGATCACTATATCAATAATTGATTGATAACTCGCTAATTATACGACATAATTCGCCCAAATTCAATAGGCTTCTGGTCCGAGATAAGATGAATGCACATGCAAAATCTGGAGCAGATTCAATCTCGCTTTCGTGAGATATCGCGTGCATCTAACAGACAGACAGACAGACATACATACAGACAAATACCTATCAATATACTTACCGATCTTAAGATCGATAAGTAATAAAGGTAGACGAGGTTGAGCCTAACGATGAGTTGAATGAAAATATAGGAAAAGAAGGTGATTCAGATGAAGCATTAATTAGTGCTGTAAACAGCAAAACAGCTGTTCATACGATTGAGCACATGCGGTGTGCAGTGTACTCGCTTCAGCTTGCTATTTGGGATGGTTTGAAAGAGAAACGTGTTCACACATCATTGAGTAAGCTATGTCAAACTCCAGTCATGGCAAGGACACCTAAAATAAATGCTATTAAAGCGCAGAACAGGAAAAGGTGCAATAATAGAGCAAGTCACTTGGTGGGGTAGCAGCTATTTAATGGTTCAGCATCTTTAGAAGTAAAAAACAGTTTAATTGATATGGCGCTTCCAGATATAACATTGACTGATTTGCAATGAACCAAGCAAAGGAACTAGAAGATTCACTTCGTTATCCATATTTAGTTACCAAAAGGTTACAAGCAGTAGCAGTTAATCACTCTGTATGAGTGGGCCTTCAAGAAACTCCTCGGACTTTGGTTCCCAATGCGAGATCGATTTTGAAAAACGTCTTAACTCTTAATATTGAAACCAATCGCCATCGAACAGAGAAAGAAAGTAGAAATTTAAACTCTGCTTTCTAAATTTAAAATTCTTCCTTTCAGTTTTGTCAATATTGTTCAATTACCAAGTGTGTAACAAAATTATTCAATGAAGTATAAACAGTTAGGCCTTGACTAATTGTAGATGATAAGCTTACCACAGCAGTAATATATCAAATAATACATTATTGTATGTGGAGAATAATTATTTCATGGGCTACAGTTTTTGTGCAGTATAAGACTCTGTGTTGGGGGCTGTGTTGACACCCAACTTATGGTAAAAGAAGACATTTTATTTTAAATATAATTAATCATAAAAAAAATAAAGTATCAGTTTCAATTTCAAGTACCGGTAAGTTATCCAATTGGCTGACGCAAATGTACAGGAAAGTAAAATTTAAGTAATGGTGTTTATACACTTTTTTTCAGTGATGATGTGAAGGTTTGGGTGGAGGCTAATCCTGGCATGTACTGGGCTTCTTAGTAAGTTGAATTTTTGCTCTCAATATTGAATGTAAACATCAATTCTTTATATAAGGGCTACTCAACTACCAAGATCCGTATACAAAAGTTAAAAATTACTGGGGTCCAGTCTTTATAGCAAGCCTTTAGCTTTGAGATTGAAGAGTTATTAGAAAAATTATTCATGGAAAACTAAGTAATGTCACATTGCAGTTAGGTTGAGTAGCCCTGCTGTATAGAACAGCATATTCAGTGATGGTATCATATCAATTATTTCCAAAAAGCTAGTCTTTGATAGAAAATATTCCATTAGTTAATTTGGCGCTTTAATAACATATTATTTTAAAAAAAAATTAGTTTGGTGTATCCTTTATCCTTTCCTTTGCTACCAAAATGCAGTACCACCCTAATCAAAACAACATTGTTTTTATTATTTTAGTGGAGTGTTTTTGGTGTTATACATCGTTTTGGTTTGTGTGGAGTCTGTTCGTCGAAAACATCCTCACAACCTAATTATGCTTGGATTATTTGTAAGTATTCTGTCCATATTTTTTATTCACTATTTGTAGAGTCCAGGGGTGGGTGGGCAAGGTTTTTAGACCTGGGGCCAGAAATTTTGCCCATCTAGCGGGCCATGTAAGTGTGACGTAAAAGTTACAATTTATGAACAATATTTACAGTCTTACAAAAGCAAAAGTGGAAAACAATAACCTTGGGACTAAACTAAATTTAATTGCAATCTTAACAAATTCCTTGAGGTATTTTTTAGCTAAATCATCCAAATTTGGTTTTCAGTTTGGTTGTGGCAGCATTAGGTGGGCCAGCTTGAATTACCCAACGCCCGGATTTGGCCACAGTTTGCCCATGTCAGTTGTAGACTAACATGGAGCATTTTTTTTCTTGTTTTACAAATTATATACTTTTTTTTTATCAGACACTGGCGTTGTCTTACATGACTGGAACCATCGCAGCGTACCATAGCACGCAAAGTGTAATGATTGCTCTCGGAGTAACAGTTGTAAGTAACATTTTTAAAATAGTGATCTTATTTAATGAAATTGTATAAAAATAACTTTTGTACAAATTTGTCAAGTAAACTCCAAATTTTATTGAGCCAAGCCAAAAATAAAGGCTTTTACATCTCAAATTGTGTTGTGATTTAGCAAATCTCTGCAAAGTGAAAAATACAAAATAGTATAAGTAATACAATTTGATCACCATGTCCCTAGTAAAAAATGTGGCTCAAATTTAGATCATGCATTGCTCTAAAAACCCTATTTTATATGTTATAATAATGAGATCATTGCCAACAGTGATGTTTTCTATTGAAGTTCTTATATTACTCTCAAAACTTGTATGATATATTGCATATTTTAAATTGATTTGATTTTTATTCAGGTGGTCTGTGTCACTGTTATTCTATTCTCGATGCAAACCAAATTTGACTTCACCAAATGTTCGGGAGTTCTCTTTGTGTTATGTATGGTTCTCTTCTTGTTTGGATTCATCACCATTTTCACCTACTGGCGTTCTTGGGTGAGTCACTCAAGCTTTTACCAAATAATTTTCGGTGTAAGAAATGTTTTTTTCATTAACATTAAAAGTTGTTATTGGTAGGGATGGCAAAAACTGAATACCCTCACTATTCCAAATATGTTTTAAAATAATAATTAGGTAATGTAATATATGATATTTACTTTTATTTTCAGTATCTGCAAGTTGTATATGGATGTCTTGGAGCATTGGTCTTCACCCTGGTAAGTTAGATCATTATACATTCATATAAATTTTATGTGTTGTTTTGGATTAACTGCTGGTTCGTTCAATTGAATATTTAGGAATTTGTACATCCGGCAGTTGGTGGAAAACGCTGGAACATCTAATCTAGTGGTATAATCTATATTAGAGTTTGGCCCATGGCAGGTCCATAAAAATAATAAGGTAGAGCCCGAGTCAAAATATTAACTCATCAGAGCTTCAGATGTTTGAAAGTCTGGATTCAAAGTCGGAAGAGTTCAGTTGTGACAGTAGGCATGTAAATAGCAAGTTTCTTGTACTTTTTGTATAACAATTTGCTCAAAGCAGAGATGCGTGCACTCACTCCAAAAGTAAGAGAAACTTGCCTCTGGGAAATAATGTGGTAAGTGTTGAAATCCCGAGAGCTACTCAAACCATACAGATTTATGGTGGGTCATATTAAAACTGAGAATGCCAGAATTTGCAGCAGCAGTTAATCCCAGATTCCCAGTCTGTGTATATTTTTGAAATTTCTGTTAATGCAGAATGTGACAAGAAAATAATTCCCTTTTTTATGTCACACAATACCAGTAATTTAACATTTATTCAATACATTGCATTGTTTTCCATGGGCAGAAATGTGGAAGGGGGTCATCGAATGTTTCCAACTATCTAAAAGAGGCTGCTAGCCATGTAGTGTTGAGAAACTTTGGTTTAATGAAATACTTCAGTAGAACAAATGCAATAAGTGTGACAAAACTAGCATTCCATGGTTTATCTTTTTGTTCTGTCGTTTTAGTTTTTGGCATTTGACACTCAGCTGGTGATGGGAGGAAAAAAACATGAACTTGAGCCAGAGGAATACGTCTACGGAGCCCTCACACTTTATATCGATGTAGTGTATATCTTCCTCTTCATACTGTCAATCTTTGGAGGGTCTTCCAATTAGTCCATAAGAAATCATATTTTGAATTAGATGTGTTGGTATTATTTTGACTGTGATGCATAGGTCGAGATGGCAATGTTTTTTCATTTATATTATTGTGAAATGTTAATTGTACATACACTGAGAGGCTTCTGGGATAATAGTGTGCTTGAGTTCAGGAAATCAGAAGAGCTTGCTTGTCCTTTTTCTTCAATTACAGTTTATATTTACTTATCCTGAAATACAAAGAGTCTCTTTTGTTTACACAAATATTATAGTGAAGGGTTTCTTGACTTTGTATTCACTAAATGTTTGTGTTATGTGTGATTTCATTTGTTTAATCATTGTTTGTAGTTACAATTCCATAATGTAAAGGAAGGAGTTAAAAATCTGTTTTGTTTATACAATAAAGTACTTACTGTATATACCGCAAATGTTTCAATCAACTACGTTAATTTTCAAGCTTTCGTCATACGGTATTATTCGAAGATTTTATCTGCTAAATTTCTAAGATGAACTCAGTGCTATCTCATTTGGCCGAGTTGTGTTTCATCTCTTGTAATGACTAACATTCGTATAGGCACACCGGATGCATGTGCTTGGTTTGGTGTACAAAGCTATGGAGCTCGATCGAATTGCAGATGTTTTCCGAACATTCGACAGGGTGCGCCGACCGTCTGACATTAATGGCGCTGTGAATTTTAATTACTTCCTCCAAATTCTTAGTCATCCTGGTGATGCGATATGGCTAACGACGCTGATAGGATAGTTGCAGTGCCGATTAAAATTGTTGAACAGAAAATTGCACAGTCATTGGTTCGAAGTAAACCGGGATTCGAACCTTTTTGATTCGCGATACCTGTTAACATGTTTTTTTAAATTTCACGAATACCTACAAGCAGGATAGGATTTACATATTTATCCCGGGGGGAGAGGAAAGCCGATAAGACGGCTTATCAATATGGCGAACCACGGCCTCTCGTCCGGTTACCATTCCAAGTCGGGTATGGGATTAGTTTTACTGTATTGTTTGTTTTCGGAAGCATGGACTTGGTGGTGGAGGAAGCAGTAAAACGAATGCCATTTTGTTTCTCTTCACGCTGCCATTGGCTAAGGTGACGGCTGACTTCGTCAGGTATGACGATGCAAATCTCCTTTATCATCGACTTTCTTTCGATATAAAGAAGAGCGAAAAAGAGTATGCAATGAAAATAGTATTCAACGCGTCAGTTTTGGCAGTCTTGCGTCGTAAATAAGCTTGTCTCCTGTGCTTTCCATCACAGGCGTAGCCAGGGGAGGAGGGGCCATGCCCCCTTACCCCATTCATGCGCCTTTTTCGGTACTATTCTTAAACGATGTAAATTGTAATCTGCAGATTCTTTAAGATATTGTTAGATGTAGGGCCAACCAACCGACCCGGAATTGAAATCTGATGTCGCGGGCTGTGCTACGGATGTCCCGGAATTTACTGACAACCAAGGCGTTGTAAAATAGAGGGCCATGTAAGCGTGTCGGTATTATGAATGCGTTTTGGATCAACCGTAGAAACAAACTAAACTTTAATCTCGTCAAAGCTGAACTGATGATGAAGCTTTTATATGTCATGCAATGAGTTTATCAGCAAAGACGGCCAATGCGTACATCGCCTGGCATTCGTTTCTGTATTGTGGCCAAAACAAGTAGTGGAAACTTGTGTCGTTTAATTAAGAGTAGGTGCCAAAAAGCATTGATTGACAGCAGTTACATCAACAAGGTCCCCAAACACCTGTTCCCTGGCGAGACCCGCGTTCGCAGGTGCGGGAAGAACACTACACACATTCTCCGCTGGATAGGTGATAGAGTGCTGCAAATTCCCCTGAAGGACATGCCATTCAATAATAATTTTTGCGGTTCCGCCATTCGCTGCAGAGCGTAGAATGTCGAGTTCCATTTTCTACCCACGTCTTGCAATTTATGTTCTGGTGCATTCAGACCTTTCTGACATTCCGCGATAGCCCGGGATGAGCGGATGTAGTAGACAATTATAGAACGGGCACCAGTCACGATATTTTTCACATCAATGCTTGATGTGATGGCGTCGTACTCGTGAACGAACACGTGTGTGCCATACATGATATATACATCGGATGTTGAAAATGTCACCGTCCTTCAAAACTAGGGGAACTTGGATATTGTGTATTGAACTGCAGGTCCTTTCTTCTTGATTACTTTCTACTTCGGATCCATATGTGGCGCTCACCACAAGGATGCTTGAACGAGATAGTATTAAAGTGAAAAGTAAAAATAACATGATCTCATTTGTCATTGAGTCCAGACGAGGAAGAATCCATAGTTGGATACTAGCAATACACAGACTATGCACATATATATGCACAAAACCTTGATCAAATTCGAGGCATTGTCAGATGTTACAGTAGCAAACGATACGCCCCACTCTCATCCTTGTTTCAAATTTCTGACAGGAGCAGTTGTGAGGTTTGCGAGCAGTGGCGTGCCCAAGGGGGGGCTAAGGGGGCAACCGCCCCGGGCAGAACATTGTAGGGAGGCAGCAGAACCAAGCTGTAGAGTTTGCGCTATTGCACATGCTCTTCTAGATGTGTTCTTATTTAATTAAAAGCTAACAGTATGTGTTCTGTGGTGATGGTTATTCAACAAGGGTTGTTTCCCCGACCCTTGACCCAAGAAAAAATTTTCCTATGTTTTACAATTGCAACATTTTGGATGCTCATTTTAATAAAACAAACGTTTCTTTCTTATCTGACCTTTACTTGATTTATTCTCGTGTATAACGACATCTATAATCTGTTTATCACCCAAATTATTTTAGAAGAACAAGAGCTTAGAACAAGAATGGACGGGCGTAACGCGATGTAAATCACCGTTGATCGAAATGAGAAAATTGGAGGTTATACTTATGAGTTATGAACGAATTATTTTGAAGATTTGGCCATTCACTGTTTAACAAATCCTTTACTTATTTAACGTTTTATCATAATTATATTCCTGGAACAGCAGGACTGGAAAAATATTTTCGACGCGAAATTGTGTATCTGGCACTTAGTTCTTTCATGAGCCGCAAAATTCCCACATTTCACATCATGGAATACGACATAAAATCTAGGCTAGAGCGACCATCTCGCCAATTTATGATGTTAGCTATCGAGAAACAGGGTGTGAATTGTTATACAATTTACGTTTAGACAAGGCGATTGTGGGCTGACGTTTGCTGCTTTCTGCGGTAGCAGTACAGTACTCATTTTATTAGCACAAATGCCAGACTTTCAACTTTCATCTCAAATTTCGAAATATTTCCACACAAATGACTTTGCTTTCGGTGATGACATCGCAGCAGACGACCAATACGCAACTATATAGCCGAAACCATCAAACCTTGAAGCCCCATTGTCAACAAGTTTATTCCACCCGTAAATCTTTCCAAAAGCAATTCACCAGAATATTTTCAACAACGTTGTTGTGGTAGAGTCCTATTTGCACCCGTACTCGTCTTGAAGAATTATGCGCAATCTCCCAGCTTCTAGTAACTGCACAACCAAATTAGTAAAGAGGCAACGACATCCTCAAAAAGGGAATCGTATTCATCAATATCCACAAATTAGTGAAAGAGTAAAATGTCGGTACAGCATAAAACTCAAATACCAATATTAAAACAAACTTATAATAATGCGGATGCAGTAGAAATGAGCAATTGTGTGATGACATAATGCAATTCATAATAACAATTAACAATAGTTAGTACCAAATACAGGACTTCCCCAACTTTTTTCACTGTGGACTCCTAAATTTTTATTCAAAGTCGTATGTGCCCTAAGGTGTTTATTGAAGATATCCGAGTCAAATCTAAAGAGAACTATTCAATTTCAGTGTACTAAGTAGGTTTAGTATTACCATAATTATTCAATCCACAATCTCAGAGTGCAACTTCAAGTAAACATAATTTCCTAACATCACAAATGAAGGAATATCTATTTAATTGGAGCTGACGCGATCAGTATCAGAGATTGTTGGCCAAGGGATAAGTCGTCTTATTGATGTTCCTCTTCCGTCCCCCTTATATGATGTGTTTTTATGTAATCATACCCAAACTATCTAATAAAAAGCAACAATTACTTACACTAGACTAAAGGTTCGTACCTTCACCATGTGCGTGATGCCTTTTTTTATCAGGATAAACCTCATGAACAACAGCAGTTGCGTATCTAAGATATGGTTCCCGTGGGCGCCGTTTGACAAAGTACTTTGAAAGGCGAAAAGTTTCAATCGTAAAAAGTTTCAATAAAATAATTTTAAATTGAAATTGAAAAATAACTAAAACTCGTATTTTTACTTAAATAATAGCGTACAAATATCTCAATTCAGAAACAGTCGTTAAAAATTGTTAGTCAACGACCAAAAGGACGCATTTTTAAACCCAGCCATGGGCGCCATTTTACGTAGATAAGCAACTGCACAAGAGCCATTATCTGATAATAAAAAAAAGTTGAAAACATGCGACTATAGTCTATAGACGACACACAAAGATGTATTACGTTAATGTTCTAGAACAGAGTCCAAAATTCAAATCAGGATATGCGCCAAAGTTTTCAAATTTATCTTGTCGCGTTTTACGCCACGTTCAAAGTATTGAATATGACTCAACCCTATAACCACTGGGTTATATAAACGAAGTTCCGTAAAACACAAGAACAAACTTCAATTAAGATAGAGACCGTCGTTCAAAAACTTGAAGGGATGCGAATATAAGGGGTTGCTCAATAAATAACAATAATACATATATATAAAACGCCCAAACGCGGAAGGTAAGGACATTGGAGGTTATATTCAACTATAAGCGTAATCTGTGCCCGGTGAACGTTGGTAATCCCAAATCATACTTTTAAAATAAATTGTTTAAATAAATTTTTCTTGAGTATTTTCCGAATTAAACAGATACATCTTTACTGAACGATTTAAAAAGTTCGGCAAAAAAATTAATTCTATCACTGAGATCATTTAGTTTTGAGGCAGAAATATCACATTTCAATTAGTTGATTTATAAAAAACAAGTATCGGACTTCTTCATTTGTGTCTCTACAGATGACCTAATCAGAGTTAAACTGAGGCATAAATTTAAGATTTGACGACGCCTATTTCTTCCGCCGACGCAGAGCGAACATTCAGCACGCTGAAGCGTATTAAAACGTATCTCAGAAACACAATGAAGCAAGATAGATTAAATTCCTTGGCTGTTTTATCCATTCACAGAGACGTTATTTCTGGGATGCACGCGGCGTGTTGCATATATGTTCAAGCAGTAGAAGTCTAGCAGCATATATATCTATGAGTGAGCGACGCATGTCCTTATCTTTGCATTACCTTTCCTTTCTTCATAGTAACGTTTTAAACCTTATTTTAGGTTTTGTCTGCTTTCCCGAAGTTTCTGTTAATATGTCATTGTATTTATCTGGGTAAATATTGCCTTTCCTTTTGAAAGAGGTTTCAAAATAAACTATGTCTATATTTATTAATCCCTTGACTTGGACCGGTTTTAAAGACACTTTCTTATCGTTAAAAATTGTCGCTTTTGCCAATTGGTTGTTACCGATGGAATGGTTTTTATACTCATAAAATGATGGGAGAACTTACAGCGCTCATCCTGTCCCCGTAGAGGGGGGTGACTTGGTCCCGCAGTAGCTTGCCCCGGTTGTCAAAATGACCACGCGCCGCCACTGATGTGTTCTGTGGTGATGGTTATTCGACAAGGGTTGTTTCCCCAACCCTTGACTCAAGAAAAAATTTTCATATGTTTTACAATTGCAACATTTTGGATGCTCATTTTAATAAACAAAAGTTTCTTTCTTATCTGACCTTTACTTGATTTATTCTCGTGTATAACGACATCTATAATCTGTTTATCACCCACATTATTTTAGAAGAACAAGAGCTTAGAACAAGAATGGACGGGCGTAACGCGATGTAAATCACCGTTGATCGAAATGAGAAAATTGGAGGTTATACTTATGAACGAATTATTCACTGTTTAACAAATCCTTTACTTTATTTAACGCTTTATCATAATTATATTCCTGGAACAACAGTGCCGGAAAAATATTTTCGACGCAAAATTGTGTATCTGGTACTTAGATTTTTCACATGATGAACATGTCCAGTAATTTTTGTTTGGCGTTTGAGTTGATGTTTCGAAATTTACTTGATTTCTTTATTATTATATATATCATAAGCACTTCGTAATGAATGCATTTTGTGCAGTACAAATAATATAAGATAGTACATTTAGTACCGGTATCCGGCATGTTGTACAAAAAATAATTGCAAAATATTAAACTTGACTTTACCAAACTAAATTGCCTTTACCTTAGTACTTAACTGCAGAATATGGTTTAATAATGTTCATCACTCTGCTGCCAGATTTATATTTATTTGGTAATTGTTTATAGAAGTCTTGTTTCGTGAGCTCAAGATTGATTACGAAACAAGGCAAACGGTATCATCGCTAAACATAATGATATTTGAAAAGTGTTGCTATTATTAGTATGATCTTATTAAGTAATTATGCTTTTCTACATTTATTCGCATTATATGTGCAACAACAAGACGTCTCGAACAAAGGGCAGACACAAGACTCATTGTTATAAAAACAGTAACAATAAATTTATTCCAACATTCGTTCGTCTCTCTCGGGTTAAGCTAATTTTCTTTATTTATACTGAAATACAATGAATGTACTACATGTATGTAATGGGACATGGAATATTTTCTGAATTGTTGACAATTTATCTAATCTATTTTTATCGCTATGGTTTTCATTGATAAAAAAGAAAAAGCGGTGATAATTTTTGAGGTTGAATGGGAAATCAGAATGTTTTCCACTAAACAATGAATTAAAGTGAATAAACCAGTTTCATTGCTTCGGTGGCATATTTTGTACGAATATCTATAATGCTATAACTGGTATTATGCTGATGTATTAGTCAGGTTACCCAATCATGCATGATTTAAAGTGAAACTTCATCTAGAATTTCATTTCTTGTTCAGACGTAGTTTTGTTCGTATGAACAATGGTGATTGTATGAAGTATCTTCTGAAAATAACAGAAATAGAAGTTTTTGCATTAAATACTTTTCACTTACATGCACTCCGTGATATAGTGATGTAATAATGTTGCATAAACATTTATGACTGATGTTTGGGATTATTAAATTATTGGTTTCAGATAGTTTAAGGACTCCCTGTTTGTACCCCCAGATTACAAATTTATTTTTCATTAAGTACAGTCAGTAACATATACCTTAACGTGGTATTGTTTCAAAACCAGTATGAAAAGCTGTTTTAATAAGTTAAATCAATTGTCCATTCAAGACCAAAAAACTAAAAGCATTATTAGTGGTTAAGTCAAAAGATTGTAATCTCATCTAAAAAAAATGAGGGAACGCGAGATTTAGTAAAAATGGAACAATAGTTTTAAACAAAACTTCAATACGTCAAATATGATTTTAGAAATGACACAATCAATACAAATTACTATAAAGGGCATTTTTGTTCAAAAAATGTAAACAAGCATTAATAAATGAGTTGTTTGTCCTTGAGCTACGTGACGTAAATGTAAAGGGCTACACAAATTACGTATTTGAAAGTAATGAACAACGTACACATTTAGAAACGGAATCATATTTTTAAATGAATGCGTTTCACATTTTTTTATGAATATACTATGATGAATATGACAAAAAAAGTATTATTTCTGTGAATCAGTCGATATATATAAATATGATGAAATGATCCGAATGGGTAGTGTATGGAGAGTGAATAGCAAAGGTTCTCAAAGAAGAAATCATCTCAGCTGTTTCAACCAAGATATATCTATACGAGGTGGGATATTAATAAAATATTACTATTATGATATTCTATTGGTATTGTAAAATTGTCACGGTTCATGCCAATTGAAGATACAGACAATAAGAGATACTTTTATTAACGAAAGGATTACAAATATCTTTTGTTCAAGAAGGTCAACTTACTAAAAAACTGTGTATGATTTTGGCTCCATGGCAAAGTCATATTGCTGTGGACCGGCTGAAAGAATGTTTCCAGCCAATGCTAAAACCTCGAGACCGCAAATTAACTCGGGGTATAATATTGGATGGGCCTGAGTAGGAAGGTTTGAATTGTGTAGTACAGGGCTTCCCAAACTTTTGAGCTCGCGGCCCCTTTCAATATCTATATTAAAATTTTTCGCTCCCCTGTTCACATCAATAATGCTAAACAGTTCGAAATATGCATTTTTGATTCTTATTTAAGTTACACAGTTAATTCTTAACTTTTATTAGGTCTATTCAAAAACAAACACACTTTTACTCAAATTAACATTACTCGATTATTCAGTGTGGATGGGTGCGAATACTTTTTGCGCATAGCAAGTCCAGCCGTGGCTCGATGTTTTTTAATGCAGGCCCAAATAAAAATAAATTACGATGTCTGGCCACCGACTGCATGATCCTTATCCAGCATTGTTACTCACTCCTACTGATCAAATTTGGCATAAGATAGCGTTTCGTGTGGCGCCAAATTATCAGGGAAAAAACTCATGGCACAACTACACGAAAAAAATGCTGCCTTTGAATAAAACGCATCGGTATTCTTTACTTTATGCCTTTTAAGTTTATAAACATGTATGCCTAAAGAATAAAGGCAAAAAGTTAACATCCCTCCCTTATTATATCTGCCTGCTTTCGCTAAACTCGGTTCAGCAAATGAATAAACTGCAGACTACAAAACTACAGCACGTAGGGTTCACCTCTACTGTTACGTAACGGATGGACTTCCGATCGTATGACCCGATTTGCGTGTGCTTTCATAATAATGCCGACTTTAATCGTTAAGCCAGCGGTTCCCGAAAACGATTTGTTAAGTGCGCCTCGAAAATTAAGAGATCTGTGTTAAATATTAACTAATATATAATTGAATATTTTACATAATTCCTTTATTCTATATGTTTTAGTGTTTCTCATTGTTGCAAATGCTGTGTATATATTTCAACAAATTCATTTTATTACCTTTTTATGTTGTTTACTTTCCGTTACGTACCCATTGATATGGAAGCGCGATGAATCAAACGTGTTTCCCTGATAATAAGACCTAATCTGAAAATGGAACCTAGACTGAACTTCAAAAATGATTTTAATATAAGCCCTCTCCTTAAAAAAAGACTTAGTCGATAGCGCAAATTTTTTGACCCAGTTGAAAGCAAAAAGTCTTTCCTACTCGTTTTAAATGGCTAATAATCTATGTTTAGCAATTTTTTTTTCATATAAAACTTGTTACTTATGAGTAAATAGAAATTTTGTATATTTAATAATCTAGTAACTCTATTTTGTAATTTTGATTTCGAAAAATGAAAACAAGAGACATCCCAAAAACAAGCCCTAGAGGCATTTTCGAATGAAGACACTGTCTTATTTCGTTATATTTCACTCGGAATCGTGAGATTTTTGTTTCACACCAGTTTTATTAATTTCGTTTTGAATCAAGTCTAAAAAAGCACAATAGATACAGTACTTTGTGTAAAATTGGACTTCTCTTTGCGGCCCCTAAAATTTGATTCGCGGCCCCTTGTGAGGCCGCTGCCCCTAGTTTGAGAAGCCCTGGTGTAGTATACGTATGGAAGCTCTTTGTGAACAAGTTAATCAAGCTACATTCTCAAAGAATTAAGCGATGTTAAAAAATTCCTTATTATGTTTTACGAACTACAGTATCAGCATGAAGATTTCTGCGGCAATGGTTGTCATCAGCATTATGTCGATGAAGTTAGAATTCTCAAATGCCCACAGCAAACACATGATTTGCAAATCGGTTGATGACGTTTTCAACGAAGAAACCGAGGCTTTTGGTAACCCACTGACCCGACGGCATCACCGAGGTATTTCAGGCAAAAGGGGCGCAAAAGGAGACAAAGGGAACCAAGGTCAACCGGGGGCAAAAGGCGAACCTGGAATTACAGCCATCGTCGATTATGAGAGGGTTAATGCCACTATAAAACGTTTAGGTAAGTTAATTGTTTAATTATATAGAAGAACGTTTATTTGAACAAATAAACGAAACCACCAAACCCCATGTAAAAGCAGGTAGGTAGGTAGGTATACATTATGTCGCTTGTGCAATTTTTAAAAGAAGTGTTTTCGCTAACAAATTTCATATTTTTTTCTAGAATCCTGCACTGGATTCGTTTATACCGAATATTGTTACTGGGTCGAGATACATTTAAGTAGCGATATAAACTATGCTGAAGCCAAGAAAATATGCCTGCGAAATTCGGGAAAACCAGCAGATATTGTCAATTCTCAGCATTACCAACTTGTGAATAACGAGATTAGATTGAACATGCCTTCCGCATTGTCATACGTCCACGCGTGGTTATCTATGACCATAAATCCACTGGTACGTAAAAAAATTTATTAATCATTAATTAACTAGCATTGAATACAACATAAATATAAAACAAAGAATCAACGAATTTGGACATTTCAATGCTATTTCTGAGAATGCTGTTTACTTATGACCAGATTTAATTCTGCTCGGAACAAGTTATTAATCGGATTATTCGATGAGAAGTAAATAAACAATTTTGTATTCATTTAAGTCAGGAGCGGTTCGATTTTCCGGCGGGAAGTCAGCAAGAACTGTGAACTACTATCCAGAATATCCAAAATCTACTGCCTCTTACACACAAATGGCAATTGGAGTCCGTAAAGATACTTCGGATGCGGCACAAGGAATGTTCAATTACACTCCAATTAATGGCCTCATGGGAGTTGTTTGTCAGAATAATTGAATGAGGAAGTATAATTCAGTTGAATCATTCTTTAGATGAGATATAGCCTATTGTATGTTGTATGGGTATGGACTAGCTTTTGTTAATATTTCTGAATTTTTTCTTTTCTTCCTAAATGACAATGATAATAAATATCAGAATGTGCTAGAGATATGAAACGAAACGATTGCGTCTGATTCTTTTAGTCGTCAGTCATATATGTTTAGTCAGAATATGTTTTAAGTATACTAACTACCAGTGGCGGCGCGTGGTCATTTTGACAACCGTGGCAAGCTACTGCGGGACCAAGTCACTCCCATCTACAGGGACAGGATGAGCGCTGTAAGTTCTCCCATCATTTTATGAGTATAAAAACCATTCCATCGGTAACAACCAATCGGCAAAAGCGACAATTTTTAACGATAAGAAAGTGTCTTTAAAACCGGTCCAAGTCAAGGGATCAATAAATATAGACATAGTTTATTTTGAAACCTCTTTCAAAAGGAAAGGCAATATTTACCCAGATAAATACAATGACATATTAACAGAAACTTCGGGAGAGCAGACAAAACCTAAAAAAAAGGTTTAAAACGTTACTATGAAGAAAGGAAAGTTAATGCAAAGATAAGGACATGCGTCGCTCACTCATAGATATATATGCTGCTAGACTTCTACTGCTTGAACATATATGCAACACGCCGCGGTTTCTTGGAAGCAAAATGCTCAATAACGCGCTGATTAAAGTCATGCATCCCAGAAATAACGTCTCTGTGAATGGATAAAACAGCCAAGGAATTTAATCTATCTTGCTTCATTGTGTTTCTGAGATACCTTTTAATACGCTTCAGCGTGCTGAATGTTCGCTCTGCGTCGGCGGAAGAAATAGGCGTCGTCAAAATGATGTCCAGAAATTTTGCAGACGCCGCAAAGGTAGTTACTAGAGTGTTATCTATGAGGAACCCATAGTGCGCGCAAGTTGAAGTGATGTTCAAAAAAGTTTGATTGGTGTATATACATCGCAATTCATTTTCCAATTTACCCACGTTTATCATGGGGTAAGATTTGGAGACAGTAGCCAACAAAAACGACTGCACAGACGCTCCACTCATTAGCCTTGACTGCAATGCGCCGTATAATACATCCACGTGATAGAATATTGTGGAGAAAAAAGCGAGAAAATATGAAAACTCACCATCTTCTAGCAGACGCTTTAGACCTGCCGCCTCTCTCACAAAGCGTTCGTCCCAAACCGGAGAGCTCTGAATGCCATTGAAACACTCAATGAGCTCAGACCTAATTTCGGACACGCCCTGCACCACGCGTGATTGGAAGTTCCAACGTGTTGGTGCACAAGCTGGGATACGGCGGCTACATATCTGGCGAAGGAGGTCAGAGCGCTTCGGCGAAACGGAAAAAAATGAAGAAAACCCCGAAACATTTGCAAAAAATATACGGACGAGAGAGGTATCAAGACACATATTTTTAATAACGAGGTTAATCAGAGAGAAAAGCGACTTTTTCATAACGATGAAATTCTGTGTCAAAGAACAAGGATAAGAACAACAAGAGAGCAATGCTCAAATACATGGACACGTTGACCAGAGCGAAGCAGTCCTTACCTTTAACATTACCCGTACCCTCAAAAAACTCAGTAGCGGAGATTCCCAGAAGCAGCCGTCACACTTGGCGGAACCGCTTGAAATAAGTGCTAAAACAGTGTTCTCATGCGTAAAAGTTGAAACAGTGAAATTTTTAATGAAATAACAGATCTCATGGGAAATTCAGAAATGAATAAAAGTAATAGCCTTCTAGAGAAAAATCCATTTTCAACCACTGAAAATTTCAAAGCAATTGGTTCAGTAATCGAAGAGAAAAGCGACTTGTTCATTACGTGTCAAAGTACAAGCATAAGAACAACAACAACAAAAGAGCTATGCTCAAATATATGGACACGTTTACCGATTCCAAGGCAAGCCCCAACATTAGAAGACATCATTTATAACAGTGATTGCGAGCCCCGCTTTTACGAGACAGTTACGAGCTGTTTGAGTGTCACCGCGCTGTGTTACGGTACCGGAACTGCCCTATCTTCAGAAGTTCCTGTCTTGTGACAGCGTGAATTGAAATTGCAAGATGGTTCGACTCACAACTGTAGTAACACCAACGATCCGAGTCACTACTGTAATATAACACCAATTACGGCGCTATTCGCCATTCACCATTCCCCATATCTTAGCAAAGCAAGGATTTCGATACGAACCACCGACGTTCGATGGCACGTGATCAAAAGAACATAAAAAGGAGTGCCAGTATATGCGTCCGCAGAACGTTCGGTGACGTTATAGCAAACAAAAACTAATTCCACAGAGCTAACAGAAACATTTGAAATAAATAAAAGTAATACCCTTCTAGAGAAAAATTCCATCTTTAAACAATGACAATTTTGAAGAAATTTTTCAGTAATCAAAGCGGTGTTTTAAGAAATCCACTAGGTGTCCTATTCTGTGTCAAAGAACAAGAACAACATGATATTGAAACAATCGTTATGCCCACTATGTTTCCAAAAATACCAAAACGATCGTTATGTCCACTAACGTGTCCAACAAGAGAGCTATGCTCAAATATATAACCACGTAGCGCCACCTAGTGACAACTTATGATGACGTCATAGAATAAACACAAACGAATCCCATACAGCTCACCGTAATATTTGAAAGAAATTAAAGTAATAGCCTTCTTGCGAAAAATTTAATCTTAAAATTCCAAAGCAATTGGTCCAGTAATCAAAAAGAAAAGCGTTTTTTTCAATATCGATAGGAAGAAGAATAACATGACGAGGGACAACAACAACATAAAAACAAAATGATCCATAGGTCCACTAAGGTGTCTAATAAAAAAAAATATAAGGGAGAAACTTTGCACAGTAGCAAATATACAAAAATAAAATATGCTCGCAATCCAATTTGTTATCCTAGTTAAATAAAGAATGTAAATACTCAACACCAAGAAGCAATGTACTTATTTACAGCAGCATGGAAATTGAACGGAAATTTTTTGTTATAAATCAATAATGTTTGGACACTCAATTCCTAACAACCAATTATGTTGTTAAAAAATATTAACGCAGATTAAAATTACAGGCTAATGGAGATATAAATATTAAAGAAGATTTTGGTGACGCAAGTAAATGATACATATATATTTCTATGTGAATTTAATTTTCATCCTCTACCAATGACTATTCTACATTGAGTGTTCATCGTCTATACTCTATAGTCTACATCTATACCACCATGTTTAGTACACTACCAGCCAAATTAATATTCGCTGTCTAATCCGTATCTCGTTGACCGATGAAATAATCCACTTTCACACAGAGAACCATGATATTTATAATTTTCTGGAATGTTATATATTCCTTGATATACTTGGTGTACGGGTTTTCGTCAATCATAAGCGCTACATTTGTACCAGTTGCATCTTTACGGGGGTAACTTGAATACCAAATTTTATCTGCTAAAGTGATGTACTTCCCCGACGTGAGAATCAGCTGACCACTCTGTAAAGTAATAGGTATATATTATCAAGTTAAAACATATTCAGTTATACATACTACAAATATACAGTGATACCGAACGTGATTTGTTCCGAGTTGGTGTTCGACTACCGATTTGTTCTAGAACCGGAACTTTTCTGCCGTGAAAAATACAATGGTAAATTGAATTTGAATTGGTTCTTACGCATTCCAAAATACCAAAAATATTAATAAAACGTGTACCTAAACATTATTTGAATGTGTACATAATGAAAATTGAACAGAATACAGCTAAAATATAACAAAATTTGTATCAGTTTCCTTGCGTTTGAGCAAATTTTGTGGGTTCAATAGTATTCATTTTTTGTATGCGATGACGTTTGCTTTCCTGGGAGAAAAGTTAGCAATGACCTCCAGTGGGCACCTTAATTATCAGACTAAAATCAGTACCTCTCAGATTTTAATATGTATTGTAGGGTGTTCGAAGGGAATCCTTAAAATGCTTGAACGATTGATGAACTCAGGGCTGTAATTGCAGAAATAAAATAGGGAAATACCCAAAAAAGAGTTTCTGACAATGTTGCGAAAAGAATGCAATGTCGAGAGAGCATCTGGAAGATATTCTAGGAACAACATAATTTTTGTCCAAAACGTCCAGGATTGTCCAACACCTTTGGGTACAAACATACGCATACAGAAGTTCAAGTGTAGACAAAATTAAACAATTTTTTCCATTTTCGTAGAAGTAATTGAGAAATTGATGGTTCCGTTTTTTGGGTACCACGCTGTATAATACTGTTTTTAATATAAATCAGTTAAATATGCTGCTTAGGTCACTGTATTCGATAGTTTGAATTTACGCAACACAAAAGATAAACCGACATTAAACAATGTCAGACACAACATGATATCATATAACACAACAGGCTAGTTCTCTGCCGTTTGCATTAAAAGGGAAAAAGACGTTGGGGGCCACAATATCTCCTTTTAGGCTATTTCTATGAGAATATTGCTGACATTATTTCTCCAATCATTGCTCATTTATTCAATACAGCTTTAGAAATCAGCATTTTCCCATATGCTCTCATGTTGGCCCGTGTCATCCCATGCACTCTTTACTTCTGTACTATTTCGCCACAGTTGTCATTAATATTTTTGTTATACTTGTACGATAGACTCAAAACAAGTAAGTGCTCGGTGAATTTTGATTCCTACTTTGTTGATTTTGTTATTATATGTCATTTAGGAACAATTAAGACACAACAATTTGACGCGAAACACCTGGATTTTGTTCATGAAATACCAGATTTCTGCGGAACACCTGTTGAAAATCACTGTCCTACCCCACCCTGATGTAAATCTCGGTTTCCCACGTCTCTCGTTTATTAATTCTATTCTATTGTAGTATGTGCGGGTCCGAATCCGAATGTCAGCGGATAGCCTACAATCCACACGGCAGTGCTAAAATCTGTGTGTGCAAATGTGATGTCGCCGAAAAAGGATTCTCTTAGAGATGTGTAAAACCGCTACTTTTGCGTAACTGTTACTAATTGCTCATTTTAAATTTTTAACTATTCCTATAACTTTTACTTCGGCTTCGCTAACTTGATGTTAGTTTGTGTGTTTTTCTAAGATGCGCATCCGATATTACTAGGTCAGACTTGAACTATCATAACGAAATGAATTTGCCGTATGCATTTGTGCCTTTGTCAGCCTAATTCCACAAACGAAATGAACATTTTCGCTGCTTTTCCTGAAGAACAAAAGATCAGTGCGATGTGATATGTATATATATATGTTTCGTTTATGTCAGAGGTGGCCAACACGCTTTTGACTTAAATCTTCAAGATAGTGTCACGGACTAAAGTGTCCGTGTTTATATTGTGTGTATATATTTATATATATTCATGTTTATTAACAGTTATGTTGACCCTTGTTTAATGCTGTTCTGTCGGATCTGGACTTCGACCACTCACTACACTTGAGAGAAAAACTGTGTCTTTCGATCTTTTTATCCGGCCGTCGGACCAGAGGTCGGTCGGTTGCATTTTGTTGTGTTCTCTGTTTGTGCTGTGTTAAGTTTATATTGGAATTGCCGTACAATAAACAACCAATCCGGAATCCTTGAGTCTTCTGATTCATCTACAACCACAGTAGCAACATCTTTTTAAACTGTGACAATAGCTCGCGATCGACTGATCGGTAGTTAGGTCGTACACAAAAACGAATGAGCACTGAATACGCAAACACGCACGCATACATAAATTTCTACCGCTTCCAAGCTTCTCCTTTTTCTTAATGAAATCGCCCTAAATATCTATTTTTTATTTTTTATGTTCCATTTATTCGATTATGTAATTGTACCCGGCGTAAAGTTCTCATGATTTATTCAAATCATACAATTCAGATCCAAATCCTGGCTAATTTTTAGTTGTAAGTGTTAAAAATTCCTCAAAAAACTTGCAAAGTGTCCATGTATCTAAACAACTAAAAAAATAAATATTCTCAAACGATAAATGTTACATTACTTGACTGCTCAAACTCCAAGTCCAATTCTTCGCTCGGCTGGAATTTGAAAAAATTGGACATTCTGATGGCACTGGTACACTGCGAATAAATTGATCACACCACTGTTGGAGTCAAACTTTCGCATACCACAGAAGTTATTGTGGGATCGTTTTCAGTCGAGGCACATGATATTCGGCACGTTTATTTCTGCATTTTGGCAGCGCCGCATTTACATTTGTCAGGTAATAATATGCTCTATCGGGCTTGCCCAGACAAAAATGCTGCATGTACATCGTATTTTTGGTATGTACAGTAGGTATACTCTATTCTTCTTGTTTCAAAACACACAACAGGTGCTCAATGAAACAGGTTTAAGGGAATTTCGGGGTGTGTGTTATAAATTTCACTCAACTTTAAACGTGATCGACTACTCGAGACGTGGCGATCAACCGTTCGATCCGGATCGACGTATTGGCCAGGCCTAATTTTGTATTCTACTGGATAACTCGAACCGCCGCTGACCCGAGAGCGCCCCTTTGCAACTCTTCTGAATTTCTGCGAACAAAAATCTTTCAATGGTTAATTGTCTGGAAGACCATTGGAAATATATATATAAATTTACTAATATAATCCTCATTTTATACGATCACGAAACGGTCACTGCGCACTGCAGATCGACCTCGCCAAACGGGACCATCGTGGTTTTGGTCGCCCGTAAAAAATTCAAATCCATGACCATAGAGAATACCATACCATACGCTGGAATACCAACGAAAATTATATCAAACTGGCTGTTTGTACCCGTAAATAGCAATGCAATAATAATATTATTTTGTTTATATGAGAACAAATCCTCTTATTTTGACAGAGATTTAGGGAAGGCAAACACGTAGGCCTAGTTCTTTTTCGGCGGTTGTCGGTTTTGTAGGCCTAATAATGGCCAATTGCCTTAAAATAGCTCACTAAATTTTTCTTCTTCTGTAATTAAACCTCAAAACGAGATTCTGGTATTTCAGAGGTCGCTTCGTTGATGAACGTTATTGTTTCCCAGGGCATCGATTTGTTTATCACGTATTGATCATCAATTTCAACTTCAATAAGTTAAAATTGAAATTTCGGTGACCGCATTTCTACGATAGACTAATTTTAGTGCTTCTTTTCGGGGCATTCTTCGAACAGGCGTTTGCAAACTGTTTCAAACTTCCCAAATCAATATTTTGTTTCTAAATATTCAAGCAGAGACCGGAACTTCCAGTAATATTCCCTAGCTTTCTCCTAATCGTTTTTTTTTATTACGGTTCTTCAATTGAACCATGCATGACCAAGCTTTCAGCAATTTTTTTTACAAGAGGACTAAATAACCGCTTGATTTGAACCACAATACGTTCTTAAAAAAGATTTTTAATAGTAGTGGAACAATTGACAATTTTTTCTAAAATAGTATGGGCTATAAAATAAATTGATTCATACTGACGTTTCAAGACAAAGTCATCTTTAGGTCATTGGATAGGAAAACACCAAGATATTTAGTAGACAAAACCCATGACGACTAACATTAGCATCTGCAGCGCGTCAACGCAAACAATGTATTCTCGAGAATCGTTGCGTTGACGCAGTGCCGTGAAATTATGCGTTAACGCAACAACGCACGTTCACTTGAAAAATTAAAGAATAACGCAGTGGTGTGAACAGATGTGAATGGGTCCTTAGGGCATGGCCAGACATGCCCGGTCCTGGCTACGCCTATCAATGGATACGTTCGATAGGGCTATAGTTGTACGGTACATAAATACTGTATACTGTATAGTTATCTCCTGATCGAGAGCGGCAAGAAGATAACTCGGGTGTTACACCACGTGTCCAACACCCGTTGGTTGAGGCGGTGGGGCGAGCTTCGGGACCAGGGGAAGACAGTTTCCTGTCATTCCCTGTTCGGTTGCTCTAACCACTTTCTCTCCACGTCTGTCTCTCTCGCTCAGTTTCAGATTTCGTGGGTTTTGAAAGCTCGATTAAATCTTCTGCCGCTGCGATCCGTTCGTAGACGGTTTACGGCATATGCGGAACCACGGATGACTTGTAGTAAGTGTGGATACGCAAATGAGACTCTTCCTCATGTACTGAATCACTGTCGTCCGGTCATGAATATCATCAAGAAGCGGCATGATTCGGTGCAAAAAGAGATCTTGGATCACCTACCTCCAGCCAGGTTTTCTAGGTGCGATGTCCACGTAGTTTGTCGGGAGCACGCCGCTAGAACAGCTGAGATGCTGCGGCCCGATTTGATTCTCGAGGAAATTGGAACGAATCGGGTCGTAGTACTCGATGTGGCGTGCTTGTTCGACAACGGTGAGGACGCTATCGATGACGCGGCCCGTCGGAAGCACTCAAAGTATGAAGAGTTATGTCGCTCCATTGCTCTTGCTTCTGGCAAAATCGTGGAATTCCATGCATTTGTGGTTGGTTTTCTCGGCAGTTATGCCGTTGGAAACCAGACTGCTCTTCGTGCTTTGGGTGTGACCGGAGGTGGTGCTGCGGCGGTCTCCCGTAACTGCGTTGGAAACGTCATTCGAGGATCCCATCGCGTCTGGAGGGCCTGGTGCGGACTTCCTGACAGTGTCTGCTAATCTTAGTGCACCCTCTTTTCTGACACTGTTTTATTATCTTCTTCCCTTTGTTTTGTATTTGTGTGATTGCGAGCTTGCGTGTGTGTTTCGTTGTCCCATTAACCCTTTCGATTCCCACTAGTAGTTTCTCGAGGTAGTTTGAGCCCTTGAGCCATTTACTCGGATTATCTTGTTTGTATTGCACCTTTTCCCCACCACTTGCCTCCACAAACTCACGCTCGGCGATGGGTTTTGTCCAACCTAGATGCCATATATATTAGTGTATACCGCTTGCCTTAGTTATCCCAATTTTAATTTGCAGTTATTGCGCACTTTTCCACTGTTTATTGGTTCGTTCGTTTCCTTCTTTTTTATCTGATAATTTTTCAAACTTTTCCATATTATTGATTCAGAATTTCACCCCGGTTGATAGAAAAAGGCGAGCGGTAATTATATTTCAGTTAGATTTTTCATGTTTAGAACCCATCGCCGAGTTTGCCAGCCCTTCGCCACTACTTTATATTTGTTATTTTTGCTTACAATTTCCTTTCCTATATTCTTTGAGGGGGGCTGGCTCAGTTAGATAAGCCGTACTCATTCTTTATATTGACTTGTTATTCTTTACATGTCAATTTAATTTTTGTTTAGGCTAAATTCTCATTTGTATTTATTTATAAATACCGTTTTTGCCCCACTGCGCAGGGGAGGCCAGGGTTACTGGCAAATGTACATGTTATTGAATAAAAGTGCATAAAAACAGAAAGTTACTCGTGCTTTTTTATATCTTTGTTTATATTCCGCTACTATATTCAACAACCGTGACATTTTAGGAGAATATGCTCATTTGTTTGCAGCAGTCGTTTGCAGTCATTTGTTTGCAGAAGTCGTCTAGCGCCGCCAGTGCGTACAGACTGTGCACATGGTCTGGTCAGAGACATTATGACATCACAGGCAGACGAGTTAGCACGTGGCTCTGAGAGCTCGTCTTGGAGGTTGACATAGACCAAAGCGTATATATAATTTGACATAGACTATTTGGTTCCTAGACCTTGGTTTAAATTTCAGGTACAGACAACGCGATCAGACGGTTATGTCGGCATGTCACCTTACAGGCCTGTATGCATTCAACTGTTACATTCATTGGTAATGATTAAGGTGTGGTAACGTCTTTATTTTAGTGTAACTGTTATGATTTTTTATTTTATGATATTTATCATGTTTCAAACTTTTTAAAAGTTTTGCTCGCTCTCTAGAATTCTTCATTTTTAGTTTGTAGCTACTATGAAGTTTTCAAAATAAATCATGGTGAGACGATTATGGTAGCTTACTGGGAATGACAAATCTTTATGGATACATTTTTTTTCTGAGTCTCATGGCTGCATGGAGCCTGTGAAGCAGTTAACTTCTGAAGTTATTATTGTCAGTAGTAATTTTTTGTTCAAATCCAAATTGCTCATTTTAATCTCAAATTTTGTTTTCAGCTTCTGCATCACATCATTCTGTCATAGTTCAGTAGTCGCACAATAATCCTGTAATCCAGTGCTCATGAAGTGAAATCTAAACTTTACAGCTATGGATAGGTAATTTATTTAATTTATCTATTCTTAGTGTGTTCATGATCTGGCGCAGCACCGCGGTAGGTTATGCCTGAATTTTCATAAGAAAAACTACAGAACCATATCTGTCTTGTGTTAAACGAATAACTACAGAACTAATCCTTTGTACCTGTTATACCTGTATAGCTAGTACAGTAGTATGATAAACAAAAGTAAGCTTAGTATTCAATGTGTGACTGGAGGTGTTTCAAAGGTTTTTGACATTGATAATGAGTTGAAATAACTGGCTTTGACATACAGTTATGCTTGGACTGTTGGAAGGCAATTTTATTGGTTTCAGAAGTTGACATTGTTTTGAGATAATAGGCCAACTCAAGGCATTTATCAAATGAAATAAATTATTCATTTTCTAAGGCACAATCGAAGCCATCTAATATTGGAAAAACCTAAAATCAGAAAATGAAGAAAACTTCAACACATACTGCTGTACTGGTATTGCAGACTGCAGTCTTCCTAAATTGTATATTTGGTTCTTGCAATCGACGTTGCAAAATCTCATTTCTCTGTATAGAAATAATTTTGTGATTTAGTTGAGTTGCATTCAGTGGTCAAACAATTATCATAAAAAATTGAAATATATTCACCTTTTCTGTATTGTTTAACTTGAGTTAGTTATAGTAATGTTAAATTTCTTTTGTAATTTTCCTGTTTACTGGCTGCGTGGCTGCTACATGTCAGTCAATGTGGATTCACATTCAGGAGAAATTATTTTGTGATCATGCTTTATTGCTGGTTGCTGCCATAGTGGTTGTATACCTATCAGTGTCACTAACAGGTTATCACTAACTTAGGCTGTGACCATTGCTGCTGTATGGACTGGATTCTGTTTTTTATTCGTCTGGATATTTTTTCCAACCTGCTCACATTCTGCAAGATTTTTTGTATGTTCCTTTTCATCTGTTGGTTTCTAACCAAAGGTATACATTGCACAGGTATCATATGTGTCGTCGGGTGTCATGAAGAGTTGTTCTTTATATTGGGCAATGAAACCACAACTGCAGCGAAGTATGAAAGTAAAATAGAAGAACTTTCAATCAAAAGCCCGCTAGATTATATCAATTTTATGCGGATAAAGCAAGGTAAAATTGTGTGTGGTTTCGGAGTTTTATACAATCAAAAGTTATCATTTTTGTATTAATAAGAAGTATAATAAGCATATGATATTCTCCCTGTAGCTTTTGTATTGTGGTATAATAGTCATTTTCCTTATTTAATCATAGCCTATTGAAATTAGTTTCAGCAATGGAGTTGTAATGTAACTTCTGAAAGTGAACCACTTGAGCACCAGTGAAGCTCTGTATCTGGTTAAGAATCAGTTTTTACAGTTATGGTGTTATTATCGGTATATTCACAACGTCATGTACCTGATATTAGTTTATCATGCGGAATTATATCTACTTAAACCTGAAACCTAACCCCAAATCCATAAACTGTATCCATAAGAAAAATGTTTCAACGTACCCAATATTTGTCAGCCTCAGGGGCATCCCTGCCATAATAGCCGACATGCCGTGGTTACTGCAAAATTTGACCCGCCATTGATTTTCAATTTGCTGTTGTGGTAACAGCATCTTGCCATTGGTTTGTGGCAGCTATGTCATGGTTTGGAAATCCTGCCATGGTTTTGCGGCAGCTTCAGACGCCACAAAATACTTGAAATTATCTATCTATCTAAAACTGCACTTGCGGGTTAATGCAGTGGTTCCCAACCTTTTTCGTTAAATTCCTCCCTTTGTATATTTTGAAACTGTTCATTCCTTTATGCATAAAAGGTACTTTGTTTATTTAATCGTTAATGGATTCTTATACGTTGTTATATGCAAGTCGCACTCCCACGTTTGTACAGTCCAAGTAGTTTATAATGTGTCCATAAATAAGTATTATAGTTATAATACAGCAAATACGAAGCAAAACTTCTCCCGAAGTGGGACAAAATTCCACCCTGAGGAGGAAACGTAGGTTTAATGGAAAGTACTTCCATCGGACCATCATGCAGTGATATGATTCTAAGTGATGTTTAAAACTTTCTATAAACATAGGCCGGAGAGAACTAACCAACAGTTTAGGTGCTGAGACCTGTTAGTCAGTGATGTGTCTACCAATCCATATGTCCTATCTGCTGTACTTCACCTTAATACAAGTAAAAACTTGTTGGTCGATTTTCAGTTCTATAGTGTATTTATATTGTTCGTTCTCATTTATATAGTAATTTTCATAATTTTTTTCTTAATATTTATAGTTAGCAACAAAAAAAAACTTCGGAAAGGAGAAATTACTAAAATAGCATACAAAGAGGAAATGAGCGTGGTAAAGTTTACGTTCTGTGTTTTTCTATTTTATCATGAGACGATGATGGTAGCTTACTGGGAATGACAAGTTCATATGGATACAAAGTCTTTCTGAGTCTCTAAGTAATCAAAAACTGTTTGTATCTAAATTTCAACAATAACTTGAAATGCTGACTATTTTGATTGACGAGTCGGAAGCTTTAGTTAGTCTCAATGGTTTCTACATTCATTTTTATTAAATGTCTGTCATTAACAGGTGATGCTGTCTTGGTTGCAATCAACATCAAGAACACACGTGGATGAAAAGAAATCTCATCAATCAATCAATTTTATTTTGATCACTCTGAAAGAAACAAAACCACAACAAACGAACAAACAAAATGCACAGGACCTGAAGGAAGGGCATAACTTAATAAAACCATCCACCAATAATAGTCAAAAGAACACAATAATATAAAGATACGATGTAAAATTGGGCAATACCTATTAAATCAATTTTAAAATGTATTAGGCATTCAACTTCCCATTCGCAAATATGTACCGGTAATGCTTGAGGGATTGCTAATTGCATTCTTGTGTCGCTGTTTTTGAGAATGATATATAAAATGCTAACCTCCAGTCAAATGCTATGCTGTAAAGTGTAACTGAAAAAATACAATCAAAAGGACATTTCTAGAACTGAGTGCATGGCTATGGTATGTGTATCACAACAGTGCTTTTCCTACAAAAATATGGAATAAAAAACACTCGTTGACCTATAATGGGGATGCTGTAGTTCAATTTCATTGCAAAAATAACAGTGACAAAAAATTGTTATTGAAAAAATTGTCACTAAAAAAACAAGCTCGGTAAATAGATTGAATGTTTCATAACAGTCTATGGACAATCATGGATTGGGGTCATGGTCGGGTTCTTTTGTAGTTTTCGATTAGTTCAATTTAAAATCATTGTAATCATTCCAATGTTCCCAACATTAATATCGAATTTCAACAGGTGCAGTGGTCCCGTCTTTTCTGCGCTCTGTTCCATCATCCACGCAGATGACCGTATATGGTTGTATCGTTATCACCCAGTCATATACCGAAAACTGCATTATGTATTGTTTTATTATTCATTTGTTATTGTATAATTATTATGTTTTCTGGTTTAACGAAAAAAATAAATTATCTCTCTCCACAACTAGATTCATAAAAGGATCGAAACCTCTCAAAACACCCGTAACAGATCGTTCACCTTTTAACTTTAAATCCAATCTTTTATCCATAAACGTCCTTAATTCCAGTGGATGGGCTTTAATCATGCTGATATCACGCGATACAAATCCAACAGTAAAACCAAAACACACAGCGTGTAGTATTCTTAGTCAAACAGCCACTAACCAAGTTGTCTTCGGCGCTAACCAGATTTGGTTTCCCACAGCTTCCCTTCCAAAGTAAAAATGTATGATTACCTCTTTTTGAATATTGTTTGTTTTTTACTGGTTGAATAAACTTGACTATTTCACAGCCACCAACATGTCAATCCCGCACCGCATCATTCAGTAAAAAAAAGCTCTTATGGTTCAAGAATTGGGAAATTGCAATCGTCAAGCTTTTGAGTAAAAATGAACGTCTCTCAGAACTAGTTTTTACAAGTGTATCTGCTATATGCTATTTTTTCATTCTGTATAACTTTGTTTGACCTTGACTGTTGCCTCTTTGGCCTGGCCATAAAACAACATTAGAACTGTTTGTTTTTATTTTTTAACTTTCAAAGTTCTCAATCTATCATCTGTCTGTTTAATTTTATAGGTTTCTTTAGCAGAAAAGTTGGCAGGGTTTACTCAAATCTGTAACGGTAATTCTCGAACTTTCATGATCTGTAGTCCCCTTCCGAAGACTCGACAGTCCATGACCTCCCCTTCTTTTTTTCTATAAAGGAAACCAATTTCGTCTAAAACGTTCCTTATTCGACACATTTAATAATAAAAGCCAGCGAGTATTGCTTGCGATAAATAAAACGAATTCCATTTGATATTGAACGCTGGAGATGTATCGGCTAAAAATAGACTGATTTATTCAGTCCTGTGATTTAGTCTTGCACGGATATTGGCAACTTAAATCATATTTACCGTCGGCGTGTGATCATGTACGCAGCATTTACTGCCTCGTTCGACTCTTAATGAATGCATTCCCTTCAATTGAGTGAAGATGTATGTGTATTTCTTTATTCCACTAAAGTTTTCTAGTGTAGTACCGAAAATCCTAGCGTCTGCGCGCAACGAAACAGTCTAGGGCTCTAGGCTCCTGTTTGAGACTCGGTAGCTTGCAAAAAGTATTGCCGTTTCTGCCGAAAAGAACTTCGATTTTCATCCAATTGTTTAGTTACAAGAAGCTATATTCTCGAACAGAGACTGGAAACGCGTCATTGATCGCTTGGGGTCTGCAACCTTTTGTCTCTCGCGGGCCAAAATCAAGGTTGCAAGCCATTGGCGGGCCGCACATATTTTTAGAAAGTTGAAAAACCGAACGGATGGTACTTTTTATAATAAAAATCAAGCAGTGATACATCTCTCGAATAAAATATAAATTTATTTTCTCATTGCATCTCATAAAATTTCATTTGAATATTTTCAGCGCCATTGAACCCTTTGTACTTAGCATCAACTTTTCTGCGTTTTGTTGCCATTCGCTTAATTATGTTCAAATTATATGCTCATTAAACGAGTAATTGTGAAATATATAGTTGTTAGGTTATAATATAGTAGGGTGGGGGAGAACGGACATGCGGGGTAATACGGACACCTTTTTCCGATTTGATATCACAGCGACACCATGAGAGCTTCGGTCGCGGTCTTATGGCATTATGGATTGCAATGTGTGTATTCATGCACCACGAGAGGCTGACATTGTACGCTTTGAACAAATAACATGTTGAGACTTACTTGTCACTAGAGACTAAATGATGCTAATATCACAATATTTTATTACATATATTTTACACTTATTGTAAGTACTTCATCAAAAGCCGTTTTGGAGTTTCTGAGAGTTATTTTGAAAACCCTAACTCTAACACACTTAGTATATAAATTATATGTATATATATATCTTATTTGCATGTAGCCTACATGCATATGACTTGGCAGTATTTGTACATCACCAAAATGGCTGTATTTGGATATTAATTGGCGGTATATGACCTTGGCTGTATATGGATATTTAGTTGGCGCTATATGTATATTTTTGGCTGTATAATATATCACGTTACCAACCCCACTCGGATTATTCGAAAATTTTCTGAAAAAAGAAACGAATACTTTGATATATATAATATATATTCAAAACTTCGATTCGTTTTGGACAACTTTGCCTCGAATTATTTTAGCCTCTGAAAAAAAAAAAACCTAACTAAAGGTAGTCCGCGAAGTAAAACTCTGGGTGAAAGTGGGCCGCGGTATAGAAACGGTTTAAAAGCACTGTAACTAGCTAGTAGTGGCAGATGATGCTGTTTTCTTCATGGGATCTCAAAGTAGAAGTTGCACTCGAAAACTGATGGTTTTTCCACATGAATGACATTTAGTAACGGAATCGGTTTTAATAAATACTTCCATATGTCCGAATTACGCTGCTTATATCTTACAGAAAAGCGACCATGAAACAAACTATCTCGATCATTGAATAAATTTCGAGCGATACCAGTGCTTCGGTACTATTGGGACGTAACAAGCTTAAGAAAGCAGTTCTGGTGCACTGGAGACTGAAAACTCAATAAATAGATCAAGATTCAAATATGAAGCGAGAATGGCGAAAAACTGTATGGAATCTTTCGTGAAATCTCAACTAATGCAAAAATGTGAGATTTAAGAAAACACGCCCCCCACGTTTTAAAATAAGAAATATTAATTATCGGTAGTAGTTTTCGATGCAACATTATTCCACATGACGGACAGTTCTCAATCATTTTTTTTTCGCTCGAACTATCTGCGAGTCTCAAGTCAAGCCTTTTGACGATTCTTTTCATGCCGGCGACTCGAGTCACTTCGAAAACAGTGACTACAGTGCATTAAATACGCTGCCGAGCCGAAAATCTTCTTGCCGATAATGGTCTCGCTACTGACAGACTCATAACGTTTATCATGATGCGCCAACTCATTCCTTATTCGACGTGACATAAAATTGTCTGTGCATTCGTTGCCCAATTTTGAATAAAAATTGTGTGTTTCTACTTTTGCTAGGTGTCGTTTTTTATATTTTAAACCCATATTGCTGCACTAAAAAAACCTCAATCTCGTGTGCTGTTGACGCACTTCTGCATTGTGCGATTTGAAGTTTGTTGTAACCTTTTGGACATAGCAAGTGTCCTGTTGGGAATGCAGGGGAGAGATTGTATCAAAAAAATTGGGGACATCAGGCCATCACACCCACATTGCATATCAGTTAATACATAGGTTATAAGTAGCCTACATCCTCAATCAAAATTGAAGAGTGAAAATGTCGCATAAAAATAACGGTACTCCCATAGTGTTTGTACCAGGTTAGGATTAGGTCATATTTTTATTCCGATTTTCCCTATATTAGTTCTGTTACAAGTTCGTGGACTGTCTGTGTTAGCCAAGTGAATATACGCCCATAGGTTTCAGTCCCTTTACAGAACTTGATGTAAAGTAGGTGAACAGAATTAGTTACCTCCATATTGGTACACAAACTTCTGGAGTACCAAAATAACCATACTAACCATCATCTAGTTTCATAGATCTCTGTTCGATCTTCACAGTACTTGTTCCTGATTTTTTATCACGTAAAGCAGAAATATCAGATTCTTCCTTGGACTTTGCAAAAAGTACAAACTGCATCTCCGGATAGATCATTTTCTATAACTTTATGCAAAGTTAGCTGTCTAGGTAAAATTGCCCGAGCTCACCAAAGTTTATCTGAATTAACTTAATTTAAGCGAAGAAGATGCAAAATTGCATTAGCGAATAGCGCCTGCATTCTCTGTTTTTTTTATTTGCAGCAAAACCTGAGTCTCATCTTATACGCAAACCTAATATCAATAAAATTGGTGCCATTGCAGCTGGAATGAGTAAAAATCCGTTTAATTACATAATAATCATTAATTAACGAATTTCCTCAACAGTTCAGTGCTTTATTCGATATTTGTTTACGTCTGAGCGTCAACGCGATCGTCTTGTCCCACATGTTGTAGTTATAATATTCAACATGGCTATGAGATATATATATTGTTTAATATTAATATTGTAAGAGAGCTGCAGATGAGGAAAGGTAGAAATGTTGTTAGTTTTCAAAGATTATTGTAAGTAGAATATTTTAAATTGGAGCTTATGTCAAAACGAATATTCATCGCTAGGTAATCGAGCAATCAAACAGTTGTCTGTATCTTCAACCAGTTACTTATGCGTAATGCGAGGAAACATTTTCATTACTAGCTTTAGCTGATACTGAATACTAGCTGATGTGGTTCCGTGAATGCAAAATTAAATTCTTTCTTTATTTTATCTTCATTAACGAATTTTACAAAGCTCTATTAGCCGAATGCAACTGTGCATCTTCACCTGGCTTCATGATAAATTCAAAGAGCGAAGATGCCCATTCTTCAATGCATTCAATATGAATTATGTATGAAAATCTCATCTATTCCTGATTTAACCAGGTTATTCATCATTTATAGGTAGTATATATGTATTTAAGTATATGTAAAAGCAATCGAATTTAATAAAATTCGAGATATTGATCCCGTTCCTGGTTAAAGACAAAAACAAGGATTTAATACCTTCAAGTAAAACAAAATGACGCCACTAAACAATAGGTTGAAACGAAAAATTAAACGCGAATATTGTTGCTTGAAACGGGACAAACTGCAAAATTAATCTGCATCACTCACATATTTCTTTGTTATTTTCATGCTCTTGAAAACTTCCAAATTTGTTACTTTCTTCTCTTAAAGATATTTCATGACATGCTCAACTTTTACCTTTCGTATCACGTAAAAATAGAATTATTTAATGCATGCGAGTGAACGGTAGTCCACCATGACCGCTTGTCATATTAAATTAAAAGTAATTGAATTGGATTATTTGATTATCTGCTAAGCATACGTCTACTACCTGCTGTTCTGAAAAACAGCTCTATCTGATCGAAATAGTTGTTATAGCAAAAATCTAACAATGACATCGATATTTTGGACATTATATAAATAAATGCAGTTGCAATTAAGCGATCGTCATGTCCATTTGAACAATGCTTCGTTCACTTGGGTCATGCTGCTTTGAAATATCTACTAAAATAAAAATGAAATGTTTTACCTGCGAGGTTATTTTAGCAGTAAAAGTGTAAACTTGAATTGTTTCTATTCTAGTGTTAATTCGTATTTATTGAAATTTATGTTGCGAAGGAGGGGGAGGGGGCAGACGATGACCCTTAGTTTCAGCCTTTTTATGTTATATGGGACTTTCAAATGGGTATATTTAAAAAGTGAGCATGTTAATATACCTCATTTTATTTGTCGTAATTGATTGGGTGATAGAATAAGCAAACAACACAACACTTGTATCTGTTGATACATATGATGCAGGCTACTCATGAATATATAACATAGTGCCAACATTCATTTTTATTTTCCATGTATTGCTATTCCTAATCCTATGTTATATGGGACTTTCAAATGGGTACATTTAAAAGTGAGCATGGTAATATACTTCATTTTATTTGTGTTAGATACATGGTTAGATGAACTTAAAGTATTTTGAACATAGGAAAGTGGTAAGTTAGTAAAAACTATTTATTATTGGTAGGTGCGTATTTGATGGAATCTGAAGTAAACCAATGGAATATGCTCACCATTGCATCCCCTTATTTTAGCCAACTATTTTGGGGCATGTCTACGCTAAATAGCAAAACAAAGACAACACCCCACAAACGTGGTTTTTAAAGTGGGGTGTGTAGAAAAAGTTTGAATTCTCGTTTGAATCATACTGGAAATCTGTAGATGACAATATACTATATATCGCAACAAACAACCTTATGCACCGTATATTCGACTTTAGTAATAGTAGGGGTCATTTAAAAACTATTCTGTTATGACATCACACAGAGCCTGAGCCATGCATGTCATTTCTAAACCTTTTATCAACATGGACATATCAAGCGTTGTTTGGATTGGCACGTAAATGTACAAGCGATACTGAACAAGGGGAGTCTAAAAAGAAGATTTGCATGTATGATGAAAGCCACTTGGATTTAGGATTAACTTCCGTTCAACAAAATGGCGAAGAAAAGCTGCAATGTGTTGTTTGTAGAGAGATTTGGCCAGTCACCCATTAAGATTAAACGACATTTAGTAACATTACATCCCCAGTTGCAAGACGATGATGGTAGCTTACTGGGAATGACAAGTTCATATGGATACAAACTCTTTCTGAGTCTCTAAGTAATCAAAAACTGTTTGTATCTAAATTTCAACAATAACTTGAAATGCTGACTATTTTGATTGACGATTCAAAAGCTTTAGTTAGTCCCAATGGTTTCTACATTCGTTTTTATTAAATATCTGTCATTAACAGGTGATGCTGTCTTGGTTGCAATCAACATCAATGGGATATTGAGAGCACACACGTGGATGAAAAGAAATCTCGTCAATCAATCAATTTTATTTTGATCACTCTGAAAGAAACAAAACCACAACAAACGGACAAACAAAATGCACAGGACCTGAAGGTAGGGCATAACTCAATAAAACCATCCACCAATAATAGTCAAAAGAACACAATAATATAAAGATACGATGTAAAATTGGGCAATACCTATTAAATCAATTTTAAAATGTAATAGGCATTCAACTTCCCATTTGCAAAAATGTACCGGTAATGCTTGAGGGATTGCTAATTGCATTCTTGTGTCGCTGTTTTTGAGAATGATATATAAAATGCTAACCTCCAGTCAAATGCTATGCTGTAAAGTGTAACTGAAAAAATACAATCAAAAGGACATTTCTAGAAGTGAGTGCATGGCTATGGTATGTGTATCACAACAGTGCTTTTCCTACATAAATATGGAATAAAAAACACTCGTTGGCCTATAATGGGGATGCTGTAGTTCAATTTCATTGCGAAAATAACAGTGACAAAAAATTGTTACTGAAAAAATTGTCACTAAAAAAACAAGCTCGGTAAATAGATTGAATGTTTTATAACAGTCTATGGACAATCATGGATTGGGGTCATGGTCGGGTTCTTTTGTAGTTTTCGATTAGTTCATTTTAAAATCATTGTAATCGTTCCAATGTTTCCAACATTAATATCGAATTTCAACAGGTGCAGTGGTCCCGTCTTTTCTGCGCTCTGTTCCATCATCCTCGCAGATGACCGTATATGGTTGTATCGTTATCACCCAGTCATCTACCGAAAACTGCATTATGTATTGTTTTATTATTTATTTGTTATTGTATAATTATTATGTTTTCTGGTTTAACGAAAAAAATAAATTATCTCTCTCCACAACTAGATTCATAAAGGGATCGAAACCTCTCAACACCCGTAACAGATCGTTCACCTTTTAACTTTAAATACAATCTTTTATCCATAAACTTCTTTAATTCCGGTGGATGGGCTTTAATCATGCTGATATCACGCGATACAAATCCAACAGTAAAACCAAAACACACAGCGCGTAGTATTCTTAGTCAAACAGCCACTAACCAAGTTGTCTTCGGCGCTAACCAGATTTGGTTTCCCACAGCTTCCCTTCCAAAGTAAAAATGTATGATTACCTCTTTGTGAATATTGTTTGTGTTTGTTTTTTACTGGTTGAATAAAATAAACTTGACTATTTCACAGTCACCAACATGTCAATTCCGCACCGCTTCATTCAGTAAAAAAAGCTCTTATGGTTCAAGAATTGGGAAATTGCAATCGTCAAGCTTTTGAGTAGAAATGAACGTCTCTCAGATCTAGTTTTTACAAGTGTATCTGCTATATGCCTTTTTTTCATTCTGTATAACTTTGTTTGACCTTGACTGTTGCCTCTTTGGCCTGGCCATAAAACAACATTAGAACTGTTTGTTTTTATTTTTTAACTTTCAAAGTTCTCAATCTATCATCTGTCTGTTTAATTTTATAGGTTTCTTTAAGAAAAGTTGGTAGGGTTTACTCAAATCTGTAACGGTAATTCTCGAACTTTCATGATCTGTAGTCCCCTTCCGAAGACTCGACAGTCCATGACCTCCCCTTCTTTTTTTCTATAAAGGAAACTAATTTCGTCCAAAACGTTCCTTATTCGACACATTTAATAATAAAAGCCAGCGAGTATTGCTTTCGATAAATAAAACGAGTTCCATTCGATGTTGAACGCCGGAGATGTATCGGCTAAAAATAGACTTATTTATTCAGTCCTGTGATTTCTCTTGCATGGATATTGGCAACTTGGCAGTTTTCTAGTGTAGTACCGACAAAGCTATATTCTCGAACAGAGGCTGGAAACAAGTCATTGAGATCGCTTGGCACAGAAAAGCGCTACATCAGGGGTCGGCAACCTTTTGTCGCTCGCGGGCCAAAATTAAGGTTGCGGGCCGCACATATTTTTAGAAAGTTGAAAGAAAAACCGAACGGATGGTACTTTTTATAATAAAAATCAAGCAGTGATACATCTCTCGAATAAAATATAGATTTATTTTCTCATTGCATCTCATAAAATTTAATTTGAATATTTTCAGCGCCATTGAACCCTTTGTACTCATCAACTTTTCTGCGTTTTGTTGCCATTCGATTAATTATATTCAAATTATATGCTCATTAAACGAGTAATTGTGAAATATATAGTTGTTAGGTTATAATATAGTAGGGTGGGGGAGAACGGACATGCGGGGTAATACGGTCACCTTTTTCCGATTTGATATCACAGCGACACCATGAGAGCTTCGGTCGCGGTCTTATGGCATTATGGATTGCAAACCTATAGTGTGTATTCATCCACCACGAGAGGCTGACATTGTACGCTTTGAACAAATTACATGTTGAGACTTACTTGTCACTAGAGACTAAATGATGCTAATATCACAATATTTTATTACATATATTTTACACTTATTGTAAGTACTTCATCAAAAGCCGTTTTGGAGTTTCTGAGAGTTATTTTGAAAACCCTAACTCTAACACACTTATTATATATATTATATGTATATATATCTAATTGGCTGTACATGCATATGACTTGGCAGTATTTGTACATCACCAAAATGGCTGTATTTGGATATTAATTGACGGTATATGAATATGACCTTGGCTGTATATGGATATTTAGTTGGCGCTATATGTATATTTTTGGCTGTATATGTATATCACGTTACCAACCCCACTCGGATTATTCGAAAATTTTCTGAAAAAAGAAACGAATACTTTGATATATGTAATATATATTCAAAACTTCGATTCGTTTTGGACAACTTTGCCTCGAATTATTTTAGCCTCTGAAAAAAAAAACGTTACTAAAGGTAGTCCGCGAAGTAAAACTCTGGGTGAAAGTGGGCCGCGGTATAGAAAAGGTTGAAAAGCACTGTAACTAGTTAGTAGTGGCAGATGATGCTGTTTTCTTTATGGTATCTCAAAGTAGAAGTTGCACTCGAAAACTGAAGGTTTTTCCACATGAATGACATTTAATAACGGAATCGGTTTTAATAAAATACTTCCATATGTCCGAATTACGCTGCTTATATCTTACAGAAAAGCGACCATGAAACAAACTATCTCGATCATTGAATAAATTTCGAGCGATACCAGTGCTTCGGTACTATTGGGACGTAACAAACTTAAGAAAGCAGTTCTGGTGCACTGGAGACTGAAAACTCAATAGATCAAGATTTAAATATGTAGCGAGAATGGCGAAAAACTGTATGGAATCTTTCGTGCAATCTCAACTAATGCAAAAATGTGAGATTTAAGAAAACACGCCCTCCACGTTTTAAAATAAGAAATATTAATTATCGGTAGTAGTTTTCGATGCAACATTATTCCACATGACGGACAGTTCTCAATAATTTTTTTTTCGCTCGAACTATCTGCGAGTCTCAAGTCAAGCCTTTTGACGATTCTTTTCATGCCGGCGTCTCGAGTCACTTCGAAAACAGTGACTACAGTGCATGAAATACCCTGGCGAGCCGAAAATCTTCTTGCCGTTAATGGTCTCGCTACTGACAGACTCATAACGTTTATCATGATGCGCCAACTCATTCCTTATTTGACGTGACATAAAATTGTCTGTGCATTCATTGCCCAATTTTGAATAAAATTGTGTGTTTCTACTTTTGCTAGGTGTCGTTTTTCATATTTTAAACCCATATTGCTGCACTAAAAAACCTCAATCTCGTGTGCTGTTGACGCACTTCAGCATTGTGCGATTTGAAGTTTGTTGTAACCTTTTGGACATAGCAAGTGTTCTGTTGGGAATGCAGGGGAGAGAATGTATCAAAAAATTTGGGGACATCAGGCCATCACACCCACATTGCATATCAGTTAATACATAGGTTATAAGTAGCCTACATTCTCAATCAAAATTGAAGAGTGAAAATGTCGCATAAAAATAATGGTACTCCCATAGTGTTTGTACCAGGTTAGGATTAGGTCATAATTTTATTCCGATTTTCCTTATATTAGTTCTGTTACAAGTTCGTGGACTGTCTGTGTTAGCCAAGTGAATATACGCCCATAGGTTTCAGTCCCTTTACAGAACTTGATGTAAAGTAGGTGAACAGAATTAGTTACCTCCATATTGGTACACAAACTTCTGGAGTACCAAAATAACCATACTCACCATCATCTAGTTTCATAGATCTCTGTTCGATCTTCACAGTACTTGTTCCTGATTTTTTATCAAGTAAAGCAGAAATATCAGATTCTTCCTTGGACTTTGCAAAAAGTACAAACTGCATCTCCGGATAGATCATTTTCTATAACTTTATGCAAAGTTAGCTGTCTAGGTAAAACTGCCCGAGCTCACCAAAGTTTATCTGAATTACCTTAATTTTAAGCGAAGAAGATGCAAAATTGCATTAGCGAATAGCGCCTGCATTCTCTGTTTTTTTTATTTGCAGCAAAACCTGAGTCTCATCTTATACGCAAACCTAATATCAATAAAATTGGTGCCATTGCAGCTGGAATGAGTAAAAATCCGTTTAATTACATAATAATCATTAATTAACGAATTTCCTCAACAGTTCAGTGCTTTATTCGATATTTGTTTACGTCTGAGCGTCAACGCGATCGTCTTGTCCCACATGTTGTAGTTATAATATTCAACATGGCTATGAGATATATATATTGTTTAATATTAATATTGTAAGAGAGCTGCAGATGAGGAAAGGTAGAAATGTTGTTAGTTTTCAAAGATTATTGTAAGTAGAATATTTTAAATTGGAGCGTATGTCAAAACGAATATTCATCGCTAGGTAATCGAGCAATCAAACAGTTGTCTGTATCTTCAACCAGTTACTTATGCGTAATGCGAAGAAACATTTTCATTACTAGCTTTAGCTGATACTGAATACTAGCTGATGTGGTTCCGTGAATGCAAAATTAAATTCTTTCTTTATTTTATCGCCATTAACGAATTTTACAAAGCTCTATTAGCCGAACGCAACTGTGCATCTTCAATTCAAAGAGCGAAGATGCCCATTCTTCAATGCATTCAATATGAATTCTGTATGAAAATCTCATCTATTCCTGATTTAACCAGGTTATTCATCATTTATAGGTAGTATATATGTATTTAAGTATATGTAAAAGCAATTGAATTTAATAAAATTCGAGATATTGATCCCGTTCCTGGTTAAAGACAAAAACAAGGATTTAATACCTTCAAGTAAAACAAAATGACGCCACTAAACAATAGGTTGAAACGAAAAATTAAACGCGAATATTGTTGCTTGAAACGGGACAAACTGCAAAATTAATCTGCATCACTCACATCTTTTTTTGGTATTTTCATGCTCTTGAAAACTTCCGAATTCGTTACTTTCTTCTCTTAAAGAAATTTCATGACATGCTCAACTTTTACCTTTCGTATCACGTAAAAATAGAAATATTTAATGCATGCGAGTGAACGGTAGTCCACAATGACCGCTTGTCATATTAAATTAAAAGTATTTGAATTGGATTATTTGATTATCTGCTAAGCATACGTCTACTACCTGCTGTTCTGAAAAACAGCTCTATCTGATCGAAATAGTTGTTACAGCAAAAATCTAACAATGACATCGATATTTTGGATATAATATAAATAAATGCAGTTGCAATTAAGCGATCGTCATGTCCATTTGAACAATGCTTCGTTCACTTGGGTCAATAAAAATGAAATTTTTTTCACCTGCGAGGTTATTTTAGCAGTAAAAGTGTAAACTTGAATTGTTTCTATTCTAGTGTTAATTCGTATTTATTGAAATTTATGTTGCGAAGGAGGGGGAGGGGGCAGACGATGACCCTTAGTTTCAGCCTTTTTTATGTTATATGGGACTTTCAAATGGGTATATTTAAAAAGTGAGCATGTTAATATACTTTATTTTATTTGTCGTAATTGATTGGGTGATAGAATAAGCAAACAACACAACACTTGTATCTGTTGATACATATGATGCAGGCTACTCATGAATATATAACATAGTGCCAACATTCATTTTTTATTTTCCATGTATTGCTATTCCTAATCCTATGTTATATGGGACTTTCAAATGGGTATATTTAAAAGTGAGCATGGTAATATACTTCATTTTATTTGTGTTAGATACATGGTTAGATGAACTTAAAGTATTTTGAACATAGGACAATGGTAAGTTAGTAAAAACTATTTATTATTGTTAGGTGCGTATTTGAGGTTATTGTTAGGTGCGTATTTTTGGGGCATGTCTACGCTAAATAGCAAAACAAAGACAACACTCCACAATCGTGGTTTTTAAAATGGGGTGTGTAGAAAAAGTTTGAATTCTCGTTTGAATCATACTGGAAATCTGTTGATGACAATATACTAAATATCGCAACAAACAACCTTATGCACCGTATATTTGACTTTAGTAATAGTAGGGGTCATTTAAAACTATTCTGTTATGACATCACA